CTTGAAGGAGTTTCTACATATGCTGAGCACTTGTTGGCTGCTTTTCCTTCACTCTGCCGTCCGACTCATCCCAAACCATCTCAATTGGGTTGACGTCGGGGGATTGTGGAGGCCAGGTCACCTGATGCAGCACTCCATCACTCTCCTTCTTGGTTAAATAGTGTGTTGGGTCATTGTTCTGTTGAAAAACAAATGATAGTCCCACTAAGCCCAAACCAGATGGGATGGCGTATCACTGCAGAATACTGTGTTAGCCATGCTGGTTAAGTGTGCCTAGAATTCTAAATAAATCACAGACAGTGTCACCAGCAAAGCACACCCACACCATAACACCTCCCCCTCCATGCTTTACGGTGGGAACTACACATGCTGAGATCATCCGTTCACCCACACCGTGTCTCACAAAGACACGGCGGTTGGAACCAAAAATCTCCAATTTGGACTCCAGACCAAAGGACACATTTCCACAGGTCTAATGTCCATTGCTCGTTGTTTCTTGGCCCAAGCAAGTCTCTTCTTCTTATTGGTGTCCTTTAGCAGTGGTTTCTTTGCAGCAATTCGACCATGAAGGCCTGATTCACACAGTCCCCTCTGAACAGTTGACGTTGAGATGTGTCTGTGACTTGAACTCTGTGAAGCATTTATTTGGGCTGCAATTTCTGAGGCTGGTAACTAATGAACTTATCCTCTGCAGCAGAGGTAACTCTGGGTCTTCCATTCCTGTGGCGGTCCTCATGAGAGCCAGTTTCATCATAGCGCTTGATGTTTTTTGCGACTGCACTTGAAGAAACTTTCAAAGTTCTTGAAATGTTCCGTATTGACTGACCTTCATGTCTTAAAATAATGATGGACTGTCGTTTCTCTGTTGCTTATTTTGCCGCTGTTTCTTGCCATCCATATGGACTCGGGTTCTGTTTAACCACATAGGGCTATCTTCTGGTATACCCCCCCCCCCCCTAACTTGTCACAACAAATGCTTGTCTCAAACGAAGGATTAAGAATGAAATAAATTCCACAAAATTAACTTTTAAGAAGGCACACCTGTTAATTGAAATGCATTCCAGGTGACTACCTCATGAAGCTGGTTGAGAAAAGCCAAGAGTGTGCAAAGCTGTCCAAGCAAAGGGTGGCTTTTGAAGATCTCAATATTTTGATTGCGTTTTTGTACATGAAGGCAAAGAGTGTGGCTAGTTGAGAATGCTGCAGTAGTTATTATTTTTTATAAATATTCTTGTTTTCCAGTGTCCTGTGTGAATTTAAGTATGCTCTCTCTAATTCTCTCGTTCTCTCTTTCTCTCTGAGAACCTGAGCCCTAGGACCATACGTCAGGACTACCGGGCATGATGACACCTTGCTGTCCCCAGTCCGCCTGGCCTTGCTGCTATTCCAGTTTCAACTGTTCTGCCTGCGGTTACGAAACCCCTACCTGTCCCAGACCTGCTGTTTTCAACTCTTAATGATCGGCTATGAAAAGCCAACTGAGAGACCTGAGCCCTAGGACCATACGTCGGGACTACCGGCCGTGGTGACTCCTTGCTGTCCCCAGTCCGCCTGGCCTTGCTGCTATTCCAGTTTCAACTGTTCTGCCTGCGGTTATGGAACCCCTACCTGTCCCAGACCTGCTGTTTTCAACTCTTAATGATCGGCTATGAAAAGCCAACTGAGATTTATTCCTGATTATTATTTGACCATGCTTGTCACTTATGAACATTTTTGAACATCTTGGCATGGTTCTGTTATATGTGTTATTTCATAGTTTTGATGTCTTCACTATTATTCTACAATGTAAAACAATAGTAAAAATATAGAAAAACCCTTGAATGAGTAGGTGTGTCCAAACCTTTGACTGGTAGTGTACATCAGAGTCACCCTGGGGTCTCGCATATGAAAGCGTTGGATAGGAGTTACATATGGTGGCCAAAACTAGATCAGGAGATAGACAATCTAGTCAAGACATGTAACACGTGTCTGGAACACAGAAAGGCACCAGCAGCAGCTCCACCCTATTGAGTTTCCAGAGAAACCTTGGAGAAGATTGCACATAGATTGCGCAGGGCCATTCATGGGGAAAATGTTCCTGATAATCATTGATGCACATTCAAAATAGATGGATGTGTATCCGGTTAGTTCTGCTTCATCCACCACTACGATAGATGGCCTACGACAGAGCTTTAGTAACCAAGGGATACCTGAGATTGTGGTGAGCGACAATGCGACCTGTTTCGTGAGTACAGAAACACAAGAATCCTTCAGAAACAACGGTATTCTGCATGTGACATCTGCTCCATATCATCGATCTTTAAATGTACTGGTGGAACGCTCAGTACAGACATTTAAAGAAATGAAGAAAAGTGCAGAAGGGAGCATAGCAACAAAAGTGTCACGTGTTCTGTTCAGCTACAGAATAACACCTCAATCCACAACAGGACTTTCTCCTGCTGAGATGTTATTAGGTCGTAGACTACGCTCCACACTGGACCTAGTCTATCCAGACCTGAAAAGGAAAGTTGAACGGAAACAAAAGACAGAAAGAGAACCATGACAAACATACCAAGGGCTGAAGTTTTGGAGAGGGGGACCATGTCCTTACCAGAAATTTCAGTCATGGGAAAATGGATTCCTGGATACATAGACTCAGTGACTTCTCCTGTCTCCTACAATGTAATGTTGGGAGATGGTAAAGTGGTTCGCAGACATGTCGATCAGATTCTTGCCAGACGGGATGGAACAACAAGTGAATTACAAGTTGTGATGTCAGAGGACAGGCTGTTCTCTAGCTATCCGAGTGCTTCTGTGGTGCACGTTCCACAGACAGAGAACGTAACAGATGAAACAGTTCACCAAGAGGAGAACCCAGTTTCAGAGTCAAATACTCCGAGCCCAGCTCAGAAACAGCTGGTGGCTTTTCCACCGTTGAGAATGAACACTACCCCTAGTGTACGTGGTCCACAGAGGCACGCAAAGCTTCCAAGCTGCTTAAAAGACTTTGAATTCTGAACAAGAAAATAAAAAAGAACTGTGATGTAAATTGTTTTTAAAAGACAACTAAAAGACAGTAAAAGAGACTCGAGTTAAATACTTAGTTACCCAAGCATGTGAAAATACAATGATTGTGAACATGTGAAATGTCATGTTTATGGTTTACACTGACTGACTTGTTTAGATCAGTAGAGTACATAACACGTTTAAAATAATTTTAAAATAACTTTATTTCAAAATTGGTTCATTAACGCAATATAAGAGCATACGGAACGTCTTATGTTGTATATCCTTAAAAACGGTTCTATTTGTGAAGATGTAATATTGAAATCTTAAGAGGGGAGGAATGTGGTAATGTGGTATTAACGTCATTACACATACACATTACCAGGTGGTGTAGCACTTGAGTACCTATTGGTAGCATTGTTAGAGTAATGGAATGCACCCCATTACACACGTTGAGTGCAGCTGCGACTGCCTGCCTGTTACGCCATGCTCCGGGTTAGTAATAAAGTAATCCGTTTATAAAGAGCTACTCCCTCACTCCTTCCAAGGCATAAAGAGTTACATGGGTTATTACAACTGTCAAAAAAGCAGGGATTCCTGATTAATCAGGAAAAAATCACATCCCTGAAAAGTGATATTCTATTCAATGTGCCAATGTGGGCCATACCTTTAGTATTGACATAGTCATTGTCATCTTCATCACTGTCATCACTCTTTCCCACGTCGACATTCATATTGCCATCTGCGCTACTGTTTTCTGTGAACACAAAAACACATACAGGATTGAGATGCATTCAGAAATTATTCAGAGCCTTGACTTTTTCCACAGAAGAATGGGAGAAACTCCCCAAATACAGGTGTGCCAAGCTTGTAGCGTCATACCCAAGAAGACTTGATGCTGTAATCGCTGCCAAAGGTGCTTCAACAAGGTACTGAGTAAAGGGTCTGAATACCTTCAAAAATGTGCTATTTAAGTTTTTTATATTTAATAATTTAGCAAAAATTTATAAAAACCTGTTTTTGCTTTGTCATTATGGGGTATTGTGTGTAGATTGATGAGGGAAAAAAACAATTTAATCCATTTTAGAATAAACTGTAACGTAACAAATTGTGGAAAGAGTCAAGGGGTCTGAATACTTTCCGAAGGCACTGTATTGCACTTGTGATTTCAACTTCAATGTTTTATTGTGTATATATTGTAATATCCATGTATTAAAGTGTCATTTGGATAGCAATAAAAAATGCAAAAGCTTTTAACCACAAGATGTCACAAAAGCCCTATTTGTAAGGGTCTAGTATTACTATAGAACGTCAGTTATGTAATTATTACCCCAGAATTTCAGTGTTTCCTGTGGACGATTCGGACGGGATTAGTTTGACCAAACTGCCCCTGTAATGATTTGTTTTCCTCATTCAAAATGGACTGTTATGGCGGAAGCCTGGAGGCTCTTCTAGGCATGAAGATACTGCAAATATCTAGGGATAGCCTAATATTGACCTAATGGCCTTCAGTTCGGAGAAAGTCTAAATAAAATGCACATCAATAAGAACCATGAACTGTAACCTATGCAGACATTTAATTACCTGACGTACTTGGCAATTTATCAATTCATTGGCACAATATCGTCCACTTCATCTTTTAAAAGAGAAGTATGGCACTATGAAAGTTGATATGTGACAAAACAGATCATTCATCTGTGGGCTACATGCATAGCACTTTGTTTTAAGCATTAACTTGTTCCCATGTTCTTACCCAAACTGGGTGCAGCACCTGTTAAAACTCATAATATCCCTCAAAACACAGGGATGACGATCCGGGTTAGTAATAAAGTAATCCGTTTTAAAGTGCTACTCCCTCACTCCTTCCAAGGCATAAAGAGTTACATGGGTTATTACAACTGTCAAAAAAGCAGGGATTCCTGATTAAATCAGCAAAAAAACACATTCCTGAAAACGTATATTCTATTCAATGTGCCAATGTGGGCCATACCTTTAGTATTGACATAGTCATTGCTGCCTTCATCACTGTCATCACTCTTTTCCACGTCGACATTCATATCGATATTCATATTGTCCTCCGCGCCACTGTTTTCTGTGAACACACAAACAGGTTTGAGGTATACAGTGCATTCGAAAAGTATTCAGACCTCTTCACTTTTTCCACATTTTGTTTACGTTACAGCCTTTTCTAACCTGGATTAAATTGTTTCCCCCCCCCCCTCATCATCTACACACAATACCCCATAATGACAGAGCAAAAACTGATTTGTAGAACAATTTGCAAATTTATTAAAAACAAAAAACGGATACACATTTACATAAGTATTCAGACCCTTTGCTTAGTACTTTGTTGAAGCACCTTGGGCAGCGATTACTCCTCTCAAGCTCTGTCAGGTTGGATGGGGAGCGTCGCTGCACAGCTATTTTCAGGTCTCCAGAGATGTTCGATCGGGTTCATGTCTGGGCTCTGGCTGGGCCACTCAAGGACATTCAGAGACTTGTCCCGAAGCCACTCTTGCGTTGTCTTGGCTGTGTGCTTAGGGTCATTGTACTGTTGGAAGGTGAACCTTCGCCCCAGTCTGAGGTCCTGAGTGCTCTGGAGCAGGTTTTCATCAAAGATCTCTCTGTACTTTGCTCCGTTCATCTTTCCCTCGATCCGGACTAGTCTCCCAGTCCCTACCACTGAAAAACATCCCCACAGCATGATGCTGCCACCACCATGCTTCACCGTAGGGATGGTATTGGCCAAGTGATGAGCGGTGCCTGGTTTCCTCCAGACATTACGCTTGGCATTCAGGCCAAAGAGTTCAATCTTGGTTTCATCAGACCAAAGAAACTTGTTTCTCATGATCTGAGAGTCCTTTAGGTGCCTTTTGGCAAACTCCACCATAAAGGCCTAATTGGTGTGCTGCAGAGATGGTTGTCCTTCTGGAAGGTTCTCCCATCTCCACAGAGGAACTCTGGAGCTCTGTCAGAGTGACCATCGGGTTCTTGGTCACCTCCCTGACCAAAGCCCTTCTCCCCCAATTGCTCAATTTGGCCAGGCGGCCAGCTCTAGGAAGAGTCTTGGTGGTTCCAAACTTCTTCCATTTAAGAATGATGGAGGCCACTGTGTTCTTGGGGACCTTTAATGCTGCAGAAATGTTTTGGTACCCTTCCCCAGATCTGTGCATCGACACAATCCTGTCTCTGAGCTCTACGGACAATTCCTTCGACCTCATGGCTTGGTTTTTGCTCTGACATGCACTGTCAACTGTGGGACCTTATATAGACAGGTGTGTGCCTTTCCAAATCATGTCCAATCAATTTACTTTACCACAGGTGGACTCCAATCAAGTTGTAGAAACATCTCAAGGATGATCAATGAAAACAGGATGCACCTACCCCCAAGCCATAAGACTCCTGAACAGCTAATCAAATGGTTACCCAGAATGTTTGCATTGCCCACCCCCCCTCTATTTTTACGCTGATGCTACTCTCTGTTTATTATTTATGCAGTCACTTTACCTCTACCTACATGTACATATTACCTCAATTACCTCGACTAACCGGTGCCCCCGCACATTGACTCAGTACCGGTACCCCCTGTATATAGCCTCGCTATTGTTATTTTACTGCTGCTCTTTCATTATTAGTCAATTTTTTTATTGTTTATTTACTTATCTATTGTTCACTTAACACTTATTTTTCTTAAAACCGCATTGTTGGTTAAGGGCTTGTAAGTAAGCATGTCACTGTAAGGTCTACACCTGTTGTATTCTGCGCATGTGACAAATACAATTTGATTTGATTTGATTTGACCTGAGCTCAATTTTCAAGTCTCATAGCAAACGGTGTGAATACTTATGTAAATAAGGTACCTGTTTTTTATTTTTAATAATATAGCAGACATTTCCAAAAAATCTGTTTTCGCTTTGTCGTTATGGGGTACTGTGTGTAGATTAATGAGGATTTTTATTTATTTAATCAATTTTAGAATAAGGCCGTAACGTAACAAAATGTGGGAAAAGTGAAGGGGTCTGAATACTTTCCAAGTACACTTTATCTGTACACTCCAGTCCTACAACCATTGTGATGTTTATACTGATAAACCTACAGGACATATTTCTATTGCATCACTCACCCTGCTCTTTGTCCTCCTCTACTTCTAACATTTACATATCATATGAACATGATGTGAATACTTCAAACAGCATTTTATCAATAATATTCTATGGCCCATCAAGACGCCTTTTCCTGATTTCTAAACCTCTGTATAACTTTCTGCACATGTGCTTCAGAAAAACTTTAAAGAGGACAGAAATCTGCTGCTGCTGGCAACATATGTATGCAAATTAGTGCTCTATTCAAGCTGTATCGCCTGAAGCGTTACAGATTGTGCACTAGAAATGTTAAGGTAATTTTAAGTGTTTACAATGAATGCAGTCTCCGCGAAAGCTGAATTTCTGCGATAAGGATTGAATACAGCCCTTAATCCACAAAACTCTTTTGAGTCTCCTAAATGTACATATTGGCATGCATTGCACTTGTGATTTCAACTGAAATGTTTTATTGTGTATGTATTGTAATATCCATGTATTTAAGTGTCTTTAAAGCCCTATTCACACGGGACTAGTATTACTATAGAACGTCAGTTATGTAATTATTACCCCAGCATGTCAGTTTTTCCAGTGGACGATTCGAATGGGATTAGTTTTACCAAACTGCCCCTGTAATTCTTTTTTTTCCTCATTCAAAATTGACCGTTATGACGGAAGCCTGGAGGCTCTTCTAGGCGTGAAGATATTTCAAATGTCTAGGGATAGCCTAATATTGACCTAATCAGTGGCCACCCGTCATTCAGGGTAGGTGGGGCAGAACGCAAAAAAATATTGAGTTAATAAAGCCGCATATAAACATGGTCTCTTTTTTGCTTTCTTGAATAAGGCAGCTCCAAAATACAGGTGCTTTATGTGGTGCTGGGGCAGCCAGCGGAAAATACAGGGCGTAGGGGTTGGTAATCTTCTCTAGTTGCGCCGTGATTGGCTCAGTATTCTGTCACTCATGGGAACACTACGTTACCGCAAAATCTACAGGGGACCCAGTCCAAATTCAAAGTAGACAGCCCTCTGCCCTAAACCCGCAGTCCTTGAATAACGTTTTACATCACATCCGAGTGTACCTTAAATGTTCCTTGCCCAAGCGAGGGAGAGTGATGATCGGAGAGGCAACGTCCTTGGTGGAAATCTTGAAATTGAGCTTAAAAACAACCAACCTAAAGCTATTACTGTACCTAGCAAGCTAACATAGCTAGCTAGCACTCCTGTCAGGTAACTAGCTAGCTACAGTTACCCATAGCTAGCTAGCTAGTTTTATTTGGTAATTTCTTCCAATACATTTCAGAATTCCCAAAGCTATGTTTATGAAGCTAGCTACGTTTTATAGAGTCCTCACTAAGAGACTAAGCCAATTTTCCAATGCTAAAATCAATGTAATCTATATATTTTTTTTTGCAAGCTAGCTTCATAATTTTGCAACTGTGTTGATTACATTTGACACTTTGCAGCCACCGGAGTATGACACGTGACAACAGTTTGCATTGAATAGTGGGTCATATCAACCCCATAAGTGATCTTAGTTCTTCACTCGCTCCCTCAAGCTAAATCGAGGGGGTAACGTTAGTGAATTGAACCTCCGCTTAAGATGACAATCAAACTGCATCCGGTTTCGACGGGGATTCCCCCAAAGGAAAGTGACTAGCGCGAGGGCTGAGGGGGTACAAATAAAAATGTTGGACTGCAGCCAGGGAGAGCTCGAAAGTTCAAGCCCCCTTGGGTGCTGCCATATATTTACATTAGAAGTGCCCATCCAAGAAGGCTCAAAGTCATTGGCCACAGATAAAATGACGTCAAATCACGTTATATCTACCGTAGCTTTGATTGGACTGATCACGTCAACATCATACTTTCAAAATCTTAGCTAGCAAGCTAGACAAGCAGTCATCATCATGAATCACGTCGACAATATACTGGCAAATCCTTTTCAATCCTTGTCATATGAAGAGAAATTATAGATAAAACGTATCGTGGCTCATCGGCCATAAACATTACGCAACAAGTTGGAAATCGCAAATTCAACAATGAGTGGTTTGGAAGGAATCAGTGGCTAACTGCAAGTGTTCACACGCGACACCATGGGCCAGAAAAGGTTGAATACATTGGCCATGCTTTCAATCCAGCATGACTTTAGCCGCATTCAAAACAACTGGAAACTAGGAACTGGGAAATCTCAGACTTCAGTGAGTTTAAGACAACTGGGAAATCGGAAAAAAACGAGCTCCGACTGGGAAAACATGTTTTGAACGGTCATCCAACTCGGGCCTCTTTCTAGAGCTCCGACCTGAAGATCACTGACATCATGATTCAACCTCGTTTTTTTTCCAGAGTTCCCAGTTGTCTTGAAAGCACCATAAATCCAGAGAATGCCATATTTGATGACAAAGTTTAATGACAAAGTTTGCCCACAAGAAGGACTGCCGCGCCATCTTCCTGTTCAAGTGAGTCCAAAAATTTATTGTTTGCTGCTGCATAAATGATGCAATATGCCAGGGAGATATGTACAGTGGGGGAAAAAAGTATTTAGTCAGCCACCAATTGTGCAAGTTCTCCCACTTAAAAAGATGAGAGAAGCCTGTAATTTTAATCATAGGTACACGTCAACTATGACAGACAAAATGAGGAAAATAAATCCAGAAAATAACATTGTAGGATTTTTTATGAATTTATTTGCAAATTATGGTGGAAAATAAGTATTTGGTCAATAACAAAAGTTTCTCAATAATTTGTTATATACCCTTTGTTGGCAATGACACAGGTCAAACGTTTTCTGTAAGTCTTCACAAGGTTTTCACACACTCTTGCTGGTATTTTGGCCCATTCCTCCATGCAGATCTCCTCTAGAGCAGAGATGTTTTGGGGCTGTCGCTGGGCAACACAGACTTTCAACTCCCTCCAAAGATTTTCTATGGGTTTGAGACCTGGAGACTGGCTAGGCCACTCCAGGACCTTGAAATGCTTCTTACGAAGCCACTCCTTCATTGCCCGGGCGGTGTGTTTGGGATCATTGCCATGCTGAAAGACCCAGCCACATTTCATCTTCAATGCCCTTGCTGATGGAAGGAGGTTTTCGCTCAAAATCTCACGATACATGGCCCCATTCATTCTTTCCTTTACACGGATCAGTCGTCCTGGTCCCTTTGCAGAAAAACAGCCCCAAAGCATGATGTTTCCACCCCCATGCTTCACAGTAGGTATGGTGTTCTTTGGATGCAACTCAGCATTCTTTGTCCTCCAAACACGACGAGTTGAGTTTTTACCAAAAAGTTATATTTTGGTTTCATCTGACCATATGACATTCTCCCAATCCTCTTCTGGATCATCCAAATGCACTCTAGCAAACTTCAGACGGGCCTGGACATGTACTGGCTTAAGCAGGGGGACACGTCTGGCACTGCAGGATTTGAGTCCCTGGCGGCGTAGTGTGTTACTGATGGTAGGCTTTGTTACTTTGGTCCCAGCTCTCTGCAGGTCATTCACTAGGTCCCCCCGTGTGGTTCTGGGATTTTTGCTCACCGTTCTTGTGATCATTTTGACCCCACGGGGTGAGATCTTGCGTGGAGCCCCAGATCGAGGGAGATTATCAGTGGTCTTGTATGTCTTCCATTTCCTAATAATTGCTCCCACAGTTGATTTCTTCAAACCAAGCTGCATACCAATTGCAGATTCAGTCTTCCCAGCCTGGTGCAGGTCTACAATGTTGTTTCTGGTGTCCTTTGACAGCTCTTTGGTCTTGGCCATAGTGGAGTTTGGAGTGTGACTGTTTGAGGTTGTGGACAGGTGTCTTTTATACTGATAACAAGTTCAAACAGGTGCCATTAATACAGGTAACGAGTGGAGGACAGAGGAGCCTCTTAAAGAAGAAGTTACAGGTCTGTGAGAGCCAGAAATCTTGCTTGTTTGTAGGTGACCAAATACTTATTTTCCACCATAATTTGCAAATAAATTCATTAAAAATCCTACAATGTGATTTTCTGGATTTTATTCTTCTCAATTTGTCTGTCATAGTTGACGTGTACCTATGATGAAAATTACAGGCCTTTCTCATCTTTTTAAGTGGGAGAACTTGCACAATTGTTGGCTGACTAAATACTTTTTTTCCCCACTGTATACTGTAGCTAAGAAAGTAATACTAAATGTGTAGTAAGTTGTTAGTAGCCCATGTGCCTCACCCTAATAAATTGGTCCCTTTCCCCCTCATAACTTAGTCTACTGTTCTGACTTGGTGGTGCACATGTAGCCTATAGCCTGTTTTAGTGAAATGTCATCATCGAATATTGTAGGAGCTTTCATTGTCTGCTTATATACCCCCTTTATTTATCCTACAGTTCCTACTTGGTGTACAGGGAGAATACTGTAAGAACGTCCCATGTTTTGAATTCTGTCGCTGTACATTTAAAAAGTGCTGAACAAATAGTTATATTGACTACGTCCGTCTTAGCTCACTCATTAATTTCTTAATCGAAATTACGGATTGCCTCTTATCCGCTCATCGTTCCCTAATGCCATGGTTTGTACTTCTCAATTGTCAGTAGAAACCACATTTGTTTAAGCAATTCAGCCATATCAGCTATGTTTTTTTTAAAGGCAGTTAATAGGGCTGCCAGACAAGGCTCCGCCGATAGTCAGATGTAGCTGTGCTAAGGATTCACTCCATGGTTTTGAAAAGAAAGCTCTGCTGTTGAAACAGCTTTGTTTATGCCCTAACATGCATCTAAGATTTTTTTTTGTTGAGTTTGTGCCACCAAGATTTACATGCTAAAAATCGCCACTTAACCTAATGGCCTTCAGTTCTGAGAAATTCAAAATAATAATGCATATCTATAGACCCCTTTCTGTGTTTACAAACATTGCTGCACGAGGGCGTTGCGCGCAAGTTGGTGGCAGAACAAGGGGGAGTTCTTTATAGAACGGCAGCAGAAATTGCCTCTATTTACATGTTGCTTATGAGTGCATTTCACACTACTTTTGGATTATAATTTGATTTTAAGGCTCCTATGAATGTCCTGCTTAATATAATGTTTGTCATCATCACAAATCAACTGCATTATACTTAAAATACACTTCAACTTCAACCAGTAAAATGGCTCTTTGGCTAGCTTTTGCTACAGCCTATATCAATGAGCGTTAGCGTTCTAGCTAACAACTGCTGCATCCAAAATAGTTATTTTGCAAAGATCACAACCAAATAAAATGTTAGCGACTGTTCAAGCAAGAATCAAAACATCATTGTAAGAGTATACGTTTATTTTGTTTAGAAGTAATAAAAACTTAAATCTAGGCTATGTTGAATGGGTACAGATGGCGATGGCTTTCTTACTGACGCCAAGAGTCGCGAGCATCTGTGCGTGACGTCATTGTGTCGTGTACTGGAAAAGGGTCTATAAGAACCATTAACTGTAACCTATGCAGACATTTAATTACCTGACGTACTTGGCAATTTATCAATTCATTGGCACAATATCGTCCACTTCATCTTTTAAAAGAGAAGTATGGCACTAGGAAAGTTGATATGTGACAAAACAGATCATTCATCTGTAGGCTACGTGCATAGCACTTTGTTTTAAGCATTAATCTGTTCCCATGTTCTACCCAAACTGGGTGCAGCACCTGTTAAACTTTAATATTACATTTACGTCATTTAGCAGATGCTCTTATCCAGAGCGACTTACAAATTGGTGCATTCACCTTATGATAACCCTCAAAAACACAGGGATGACGATCCGGGTTAGTAATAAAGTAATCAGTTTTAAAGTGCTACTCCCTCACTCCTTCCAAGGCATAAAGAGTTCCATGGGTTATTACAACTGTCAAAAAAGCAGGGATTCCTGATTAATCAGGAAAAAATCACATTCCTGAAAAGTGATTCTATTCAATGTGCCAATGTGGGCCATACCTTTAGTATTGACATAGTCATTGCTGCCTTCATCACTGTCATCACTCTTTTCCACGTCGACCTTCCTATTGCCATCTGCGCTACTGTTTTCTGTGAACACAAAAACACATACAGGATTGAGGTATATACTGTATATGTACACTCCAGTCCACAACCCTTGTGATGTTTATACTGATAAACCTACAGGACATATTTCTATTGCATCACTCACCCTGCTCTTTGTCCTCCTCTGCTTCTACATTGACATATCATATGAACATGATGTGAATACTTCAAACAGCATTTTATCAATAATATTCTATGGCCCATCAAGACGCCTTTTCCTGATTTCTAAACCTCTGTATAACTTTCTGCACATGTGCTTCAGAAAAACTTTAAAGAGGACAGAAATCTGCTGCTGCTGGCAACATACAGTGGGGAAAAAAAGTATTTAGTCAGCCACCAATTGTGCAAGTTCTCCCACTTAAAAAGATGAGAGAGGCCTGTAATTTTCATCATAGGTACACGTCAACTATGACAGACAAAATGAGAAAAAAAATTCCAGAAAATCACATTGTAGGATTTTTAATGAATTTATTGGCATATGATGGTGGAAAATAAGTATTTGGTCAATAACAAAAGTTTCTCAATACTTTGTTATATACCCTTTGTTGGCAATGACACAGGTCAAACGTTTTCTGTAAGTCTTCACAAGGTTTTCACACACTGTTGCGCTGGTATTTTGGCCCATTCCTCCATGCAGATCTCCTCTAGAGCAGTGATGTTTTGGGGCTGTCGCTGGGCAACACATACTTTCAACTCCCTCCAAAGATTTTCTATGTGGTTGAGATCTGGAGACTGGCTAGGCCACTCCAGGACCTTGAAATGCTTCTTACGAAGCCACTCCTTCGTTGCCCGGGCGGTGTGTTTGGGATCATTGTCATGCTGAAAGACCCAGCCACGTTTCATCTTCAATGCCCTTGCTGATGGAAGGAGGGTTTCACTCAAAATCTCACGATACATGGCCCCATTCATTCTTTCCTTTACACGGATCAGTCGTCCTGGTCCCTTTGCAGAAAAACAGCCCCAAAGCATGATGTTTCCAACCCCATGCTTCACAGTAGGTATGGTGTTCTTTGGATGCAACTCAGCATTCTTTGTCCTCCAAACATGACGAGTTGAGTTTTTACCAAAAAGTTATATTTTGGTTTCATCTGACCATATGACATTCTCCCAATCCTCTTCTGGATCATCCAAATGGACTTCAGACGGGCCTGGACATGTACTGGCTTAAGCAGGGGGACACGTCTCGCACTGCAGGATTTGAGTCCCTGGCGGCGTAGTGTGTTACTGATGGTTGGCTTTGTTACTTTGGTCCCAGCTCTCTGCAGGTCATTCACTAGGTCCCCCCGTGTGGTTCTGGGATTTTTGCTCACCCTTCTTGTGATCATTTTGACCCCACGGGGTGAGATCTTTCGTGGAGCCCCAGATCGAGGGAGATTATCAGTGGTCTTGTATGTCTTCCATTTCCTAATAATTGCTCCCACAGTTGATTTCTTCAAACCAAGCTGCTTACCTATTGCAGATTCAGTCTTCCCAGCCTGGTGCAGGTCTACAATTTTGTTTTTGGTGTCCTTTGACAGCTCTTTGGTCTTGGCCATTGTGAAGTTTGGAGTGTGACTGTTTGAGGTTGTGGACAGGTGTATTTTATCTGATAACAAGTTCAAACAGGTGCCATTAATACAGGTAATGAGTGGAGGACAGAGGAGCCTCTGAAAGAAGAAGTTACAGGTCTGTGAGAGCCAGAAATCTTGCTTGTTTGTAGGTGACCAAATACTTATTTTCCACCATAATTTGCAAATATATTCATTAAAAATCCTACAATGGGATTTTCTTGATTTTTTTTCCTCAATTTGTCTGTCATAGTTGACATGTACCTATGATGAAAATTACAGGCCTCTCTCATCTTTTTAAGTGGGAGAACTTGCACAATTGGTGGCTGACTAAATACTTATTTGCCCCACTGTATGTATGCAAATTAGTGCTCTATTCAAGCTGTATCGCCTGAAGCGTTACAGATTGTGCACTAGAAATGTTAAGGTAATTTTAAGCGTTTACCGCGAATGCAGTCTTCGCAAAAGCGGGGACATAGCCTTTACATTTCAATTACGCTGTAAAGCTGAACTTCAGCGATAAGATTTGAATACAGCCCTTAATCAACAAAACTGAGTCTCCTAAATGTACAAATTGTCAAATCAAATCACAAATCAAATCAAATTTTATGTCACATGCACCGAATACGACAGGTGTAGAACTTATAGTGAAACACTTACTTACAAGCCCTTAACCAACAATGCAGTTAAGAAAAATAAGTGTTAAGAAAATATTTACGAAATAAACCGAAGTAAACAATAACAAATACAAAAATACAGTACCAGTCAAAAGTTTGGACACACCTACTCATTCAAGGGTTTTCCTTTATTTGTACTATTTTCTACATTGTAGAATAATAGTGAAGACATCAAAACTATGAAATAACACATATGGAATCATGTAGTAACCAAAAAAAGTGTTAATAAAAACAAAATATATTTCATATTTGAGATTCTTCAAATAGCCACCCTTTGCCTTGATGACAGCTTTGCACTCTAGTATTACTATAGGACTTGGTTATGTACAGTGGTGGAAAAAGTACCCAATTGTCATACTTGAGTAAGAGTAAAGATATCTTCATAGAAAATTACTCAAGTAAAAGTGAAAGTCACCCAGTAAAATACTACTTGAGTAAAAGTCTAAAAGTATTTGGTTTTAAATATACGTATCAAAAGTAAATGTAATTGCTCAAATATACTTAAGTACAAAAGTAAAAGTATACATTATTCCAAATTCCTTATATTAAGCAAACCAGACAGCACCATTTTAATTTTATTTTAGTTTTTGGATAGCCAGGGGCACACTCCAACACTCAGACATCAATTACAAACGAAGCATGTGTGTTTAGTGAGTCCGCCAGATCAGAGGCAGTAGGGATGACCAGGGATGTTCTCTTGATAAGTGCGTGAATTGGACAATGTTTCTGTCATGCTAAGCATTCAAAATGTAACGAGTACTTTTGGGTGTCAGGGAAAATGTATCGAGTAAAAAGTACATAATCTTTAAGAACCATGAACTGTAACCTATGCAGACATTTAATTACCTGACATATTTGGCAATTTATCAATTCATTGGCACAATATCGTCCACTTCATCTTTTAAAAGAGAAGTATGGCACTAGGAAAGTTGATATGTGACAAAACAGTTCATTCAGCTGTAGGCTACGTGCATAGCACTTTGTTTTAAGCATCAATTTGTTCCCAAGTTCTTACCCAAACTGGGTGCAGCATCTGTTAAACTCTGTAAGATCCCTCAAAACACAGGGATGAACTGGGAGTTTGCCAAAAAACTGTAGGTTTTTAGGGCTGGGATAATAACCTTCCTGCCATGTACAAATTACTGCCATGGCAGATTCGGACAGGACTAAAATTACGGATGTGGTGATTTGTGCTCGTGCACATAATTACATTACCTGAGCTCCCCCAGTAAAATGTATCCCCTCCGAATAGGGCTTACTGCCATGTGGATATCACAAAAAATAAATAAATAATTCAACCACAATATGTCACAAAAGCCCTATTCGCACAGGACTAGTATTACTATAGAACGTCGGTTATGTAATTATTACCAGAGAATGTCAGTTTTTCCAGTGGACAATTTGGACGGGATTAGTTTAACCAGTTTTACCAAATTACGGATGTGGTGATTTGTGCTCGTGCACATAATTACATTACCTGAGCTCCCCCATTAAAATGTATCCTGTCCGAAGAGGGCTAAAGTAATGAGTCACCTCTCCACCCCACATTACCTACCTGTAACTTGGGAGCTTATGGAGATGAGACATTGATTGGAATGACGCAGAGACCCAGTCGGATCTGATGGTAACACTATTCTATATGGAGGAACGAGAGAGAGGTTACACAAAACCCGAGACACCCCAGTACTCTATAGCCACAGAATTAACAGTCATTTAATTTAGCCAAGACAGTCCACTCAGTAACAATTGCCACTTTTTCCCCCCAGAAAACCCTGGAAAAGCAAAGTGTAACATTCACAGTCAGGCACTGACATACAGTAGACACTGAGGATACAAAACATTATGAACACCTGTTCTTTCCATGACTTAGACTGACCAAGTGAATCCAGGTAAAAGCTATGATCCTTTACTGATGTCACTTGTTAAATCCAATTCAATCAGTGTAGATGAAGGGGAGGAGACATGTTAATTAAGGATTTTTAAGCCTCGAGACAATTGAGACATGGATTGTGTATGTGTGCCATTCAGAGGGTGAATGGGCAAGATAAATATTTAAGTGCCTTTGAACGGGGTATGGTAGTAGGTGCCAGGCACACATGTTTGTGTCAAGAACTACAATGCTGCTGGGTTTATCACGCTCAACAGTTTCTCATGTGTATCAAGAAAGGTCCCCCACCCAAAGGACATCCAGCCAACTTGACACAACTGTGTGCAGCATTGGAGTCAACATGGGCCAGCATCCCTGTGGAACGCTTTCAACACCTTGTAAAGTCCATGCCCCGACGAATTGAGGCTCTTCTGAGGGAAAGGGGGGGGGGGGGGGGGGGTGGGGGGGGGGGGGGGGGGTGCAACTCAATATTAGGAAGGTGTTCCTAATGATTGGTATACTCAGTGTATTTTGTCTAAATTAAATGAACACTCACAGGTAGCCTGATCCTGGTTCATAGTCGTCCACGTTGACATACTCTATAGAACAGAGAGAGCACATCCGCAGAGACACACGGACACACACACAGCTGTCAATCAATCACGTCAGAGTATATGAATGGTTTAATGTCCAATTGTCTGAGTAGGTGCAAAAGTAGGCAGGTACAGTAGCCTGGCGGTTAGAGCATTGGGCCAGTAATCAAAAGGTTGCTGGTTCAAACACCCAAGTCAACAAAGTGAAATCTTTGTCAATGTGCCCTTGAGCAAGGCACTTAACCCTGGCTCCAGGGGCGTCATATGGCTGACCCTGTAAAACAATACAGTTCACTGCACATATCTGGTGTATGTGACAATAAAACATTTTTTCACCTAAGGAGCAATGTGCCATTTTTCTAAACTTCTTCAGCAGTTACTGTACACAAAAGTTTGAGGGGATCAGTGTTATTGAACATGGTAGGATAATAGCGTTCACATTACCTTCTCCTGGAGTCTCATAGCCGTCATTACTCTCTGCAAGAACAAAGCTAACTATTAAAAAGGAACTGAACTGTGACGTTATGGAGATGGTGGTGGAAGAAAGAAACCAAAGGGGAGAAAATAGACAGGAAGAGACATCTCACCATTTTCAATTGGGGTGACAGAGTTCGGTCTCCCAACGGTCTGTGGTGAACTGTGGGATAGAAAGACGGGTACATTTCGCTTGACGGGTAATATGAGTCATTGTCTGTGAGTCAGTCACGTATGTGTGTGCGTGCGTTTGTTTGTGTGTGTGTAGTAACTCACATGGGTGAAAGGAGGCTGGAAGGGGGAGCGCCACAGCTTGTGGCAGCAGAGGGGTTGTCTGAGGAGGAAGGTTCGTCATAGTCATCATCATCATCATACATTTTTCTAAAGAAGTATCATGAAAAGATTTGGGTAGAACTTTAGCCATCACACACATACTCACATGGTCGGTGGGCCAACCCGAATCCTGGGGTGCTGAGTGGAGAAGAAACCAGAGCGTTGGTAGAGGTTTGAATCGTAACCTGACTCAACACTGTACATGCACTGATATCAACTGGAGATTTGTGCAAACATTCAGGCCCACTTTTTGTCGGGGACACTTACACAGTGCACCGGACATATATTACAAGTGCCACAGAAAACGTTTGAATATTTTGTTTAATTTTTATGAATAGGCACTGAATAGTTGTTTTATCAAAAAGTGCTTACTGTTGAGTGTAATCCTCACTGTAACGCTGCTGAATGGACGCTGAGGGGTAAAAAAAAGTTCTGTAAATGCGTTTTATTATTTCTAATTATTTACATTTAACCCTTATTTTACCAGTTAAGCTGACTGAGAAGAACACTTTCTCATTTACAGCATTAACTTTTACATACATAGAGCCCATTTTAATTAAATACAACTTTATTGATTCCATCAGGGGTATAGTAACAAAGCATTGGTATTACTAGGGAGGTTGTGTCTTCTGCAGCTGAGACACAGGCCAGTCAACAGGATGAGTGACAGGAGGACCGCTCCACTCAACAGCGACACATACAGCTGCACAGACACCTCCATCACTGTCTGCAGGAAGAACACAACACACACAAACTCATCCAGTCAGGTTACACTTTTGACATGACACTATTAAAGCAGTATTATGCTGTCTTCTCTGACCCAGATTAAGACTAGTCTTGGACTAAGAAGCAAGTTAAATGGAGATTCTCAATTGAAAGTGATTTGTAGTCCAAGACTAAAAAATGGCCCCTAATGTTGTAATATACGTTTTTTTTTTAATCTCCTCTGAATAGGAATGTGGTTGTCAGTGTTAAATCCTCATCATGTCATTTTCCTTCCTTGTGATTTTGGATTCTCCATTTCACACATGCTGTCTCTCTCTAACTTTCTTGCTAACTCTATAACTCTGTGGTTGAGTTCAGCTCTCTAATGACAGGAAACGGATTTCCTGTATTTTCAAATAACCAGCACACTCTTCACAAACTGTATATAAATTATGTAATCACACACCTTTCTGTATTTTACATAATATCTACAGTACCGTGACACATAAAGCATAAACTCCACACAAAATAAGACTACCTCAAGAACAGACACATGACTACAATGACACTACAGTGTGGTACCATACGGCTGGCATTTACTCATTTGCAGGACCTTTCTCCCTCCAAACCTTTTAATAGGTAGTGAGTTGAACTCAAAAGGGCCCATAATTGTGACAAATGGTGGCCATTTTGTGTCGCGACACCCCTCCCGGAGAAAGCCACAAGGAGGGTGACTTTTCTGCCAAACTCAGACTGATCTAGATCTAGATCTTAGTAGAGCGAGGGACAGCTGATCTGAAAGGCTAGCTTAGACCCAGTTAGGTGGTATAGTACAGCGCTGCTGGACCTGAGGCCTTCAGAAAACCTAGGCCCTGTGCAGGTGGCCATGATGTTGAAGAACATTCAGATTCAGTCAAAGTAATTTATATCTACAACATTGTGAACATGTCTATATGCTAAAATAATTTTGGGTTAATCAACACTGTTGTGAGTACCAGGGATGGGGTCAATTCCAGTAAATTCAGGAAATACATTGAAATTCCAATACTCTTCAATGCTTTTCACTGGGGAAAATTTGGAATTGGAATTTGGTTTACTTTCTGAATTGACCCCAACCCAGGTGAATACATCAACAAGTTACTTCTTCACTTCTTGCTTATTCTCTACTAACCTAGAGGTTAAGAAACTAGGCATAAAGTAGAAGTCAATCAGTGGAGGGAGTTTTCATACATACCTGGCACGTGTTGTGTAGATTCCCAACAGATCGTTAAGTCGTAGGTCGCTGATGATCTGCCAGGTGGTCAATGAGATTGGTTCTAAACCGGAGGTCGAGTTCAGGCCGAGTTGACCGCAATCCAATCCCCAGACCAGCTCAGTCGTCAGCTATACTGTGAGATGTGCCATTTTGGATGCATCTGATCTACAGTATACCATACCTGTCTGTTGCTCAAATCCCTATCCTACCACATGCAACTCTATTTAACACTATCTGTTCTTTTTGTCCACTCTGGGTTTTCCTCTCTTTCAGTGAACTGTAAGGAATCTTGACTATAGCAGCGTGACATAGGTGCCTTCCTCGATGCACCCTTCTGTCTGTACGACCTGTTCAGTCTCCTCCTCCTTCCTTTTCTCACTCTTCTCATCAACTCTCCTACCCCGCTGTCATCTCAGCCTCCCCCAATGTGCCTTTCTTCTATCGTTCTTCACAATGTTGTTTCAGATCACCTCTCCCCACCACCGTACCTCTGATCTTATCGCCCACTTCTCTCTCTCACTACCTCTCTCGGAGAGACCTGAAACACACATTAAAATACAGGGAATGACAAGTATTCAGTTCTTGGTTCAAAAGATGTATGTACCATCCTAGTGTTCTAAATCAAAATCCTACGCCGGGGTACCCCAAGGGTCTGTATTTGGACCAGTGTTTATGCTGTAGAGGGAACAGTGGAAACAGCATAAGAAGTGGCCAACATTCAGACCCTTGGCTATCATTTGGTCCATTCGTGTCAATAATCAGTAATCGTCAACTGAGTTGCTAATTGAGCTGTCAGTAATAATGCTTTATTTTTTAGTCAGGGAAGTAGAATCTGAAAATCAACTCAGAAATGTCAGTTAGATAGATAGTACACGACACAGACATGGAATGGCAAATCACGACAGGTGCCTCTTATACAGTGAGGGAAAAAAGGATTTGATCCCCTGCTGATTTTGTACGTTTGCCCACTGACAAAGAAATTATCAGACTATCATTTTAATGGTAGGTTTATTTGAACAGTGAGAGACAGAATAACAACAAAAACATCCAGAAAAACGCATGTCAAAAATGTTATAAATTGATTTGCATTTTAATGAGGGAAATAAGTATTTGACCCCTTCTCAATCAGAAAGATTTCTGGCTCCCAGGTGTCTTTTATACAGGTAACGAGCTGAGATTAGGAGCACACTCTTAAAGGGAGTGCTCCTAATCTCAGTTTGTTACCTGTATAAAAAGACACCTGTCCACAGAAGCAATCAATCAATCAGATTCCAAACTCTCCACCATGGCCAAGACCAAAGAGCTCTCCAAGGATGTCAGGGACCAGATTGTAGACCTACACAAGGCTGGAATGGGCTACAAGACCATCGCCAAGCAGCTTGGTGAGAAGGTGACAACAGTTGGTGCGATTATTCGCAAATGGAAGAAACACAAAATAACTGTCAATCTCCCTCGGCCTGGGGCTCCATGCAAGATCTCACCTCGTGGAGTTGCAATGATCATGAGAACGGTGAGGAATCAGCCCAGAACTACACGGGAAGATCTTGTCAATGATCTCAAGGCAGCTGGGACCATAGTCACCAAGAAAACAATTGGTAACACTACGCCATGAAGGACTGAAATCCTGCAGCGCCCGCAAGGTCCCCCAAAGCATAATGTTTCCACCTCCATGTTTGACGGTGGGATGGTGTTCTTGGGGTCATATACACGTCTGAAGTTTGCCAATTAACATCTGAATGATTCAGAGGAGAACTGGGTGAAAGTGTTGAGATGAGACCAAAATTGAGCTCTTTGGCATCAACTCAACTCGCCGTGTTTGGAGGAGGAGGAATGCTGCCTATGACCCCAAGAACACCATCCCCACCGTCAAACATGGAGGTGGAAACATTATGCTTTGGGGGTGTATTTCTGCTAAGGGGACCGGACAACTTCACCGCATCAAAGGGACGATGGACAGGGCCATGTACCGTCAAATCTTGGGTGAGAACCTCCTTCCCTCAGCCAGGGCATTGAAAATGGGTCGTGGATGGGTATTCCAGCATGACAATGACCCAAAACACACGGCCAAGGCAACAAAGGAGTGTCTCAAGAAGAAGCACATTAAGGTCCTGGAGTGGCCTAGCCAGTCTCCAGACCTTAATCCCATAGAAAATCTGTGGAGGGAGCTGAAGGTTCGAGTTGCCAAACGTCAGCCTCGAAACCTTAATGACTTGGAAAAGATCTGCAAAGAGGAGTGGGACAAAATCCCTCCTGAGATGTGTGCAAACTTGGTGGCCAACTACAAGAAACGTCTGACCTCTGATTGCCAACAAGGGTCTTGCCACCAAGTACTAAGTCATGTTTTGCAGAGGGGTCAAATACTTATTTCCCTCATTAAAATGCAAATCAATTTATAACATTTTTGACATGCGTTTTTCTGGATGTTTTTGTTGTTATTCTGTCTCTCACTGTTCAAATAAACCTACCATTAAAATGATAGTCTGATAATTTCTTTGTCAGTGGGCAAACGTACAAAATCAGCAGGGGATCAAATACGTTTTCCCCCTCACTGTAGCTCTGTGTGTGTGTGTTCCCCATATTCATCAGTGTACTCATTATTATTGTCTCCAGACAATCATTTTAGGAGAAATGTTTTCGCTACTGTAGATGCTCCTCAAGCAGACCGCCATCAGAAAAGCTGGTTGGCATGGCATGGCACCCACACATGTGCCTCTGTGGTAGCGTTGGATCCGGTGTTGCATTGAGTGTTACCATCCTGGTTTAACTGCCTGAGCATCTGAGAAGATGCTAGTTCTCAGAAGAACACAAATGTCAAACTGCTCTGGACATACACACTCATGTGGGCGCACACATCCACCGTCTCGCAGCAGCGTTAAGATTGAATATTGTGTGAACGTTGCTCAAGCGACCTGCTTTCTCGCTCACCCTCCCACCTACAAACAGGAAACCACACCAACGGAAGGAAGCCGTGAGCTCCTCTCTCTCTCCATCAAAAGAGGAGAGACAGACTGTGTAGACAACTGAAAAAAATAAGGGTAGAGGAGGAATTCCTGAATGAGAGAGGGGCAGAGGAGAGGGAGATGTCATAGGAGTGAGAGGAGAGGGGGAAAGGTATAGAAAGGTTGAATGAGAGAGGTTACAGCTGCACTTGGTGTATTTGTGCAGCATAATCTACAACCCTCCATGAAAACCTGGCTATGGGCTTACAGGATCCAAGCTTCAAAGACACATTTATCACCTCTGCATCTGCAAAGCACTAAGTGACATCTGCACAGATACATAGAGAAATCATTCCATGAGTCATCTCAACAACGGTCCATTCTCATCGTTTAATGTTTCAAAGAAAGGTTACATCAAATTCAGATTAGAAACTAGCAACTTTAACTAATTATTTTAAGGTTTCTCTTTCCAAAATAACCAATATATATTTTTTAAAGAATGTAACAATCGCCTTCATTCAAAAAGGGATATACATTTTCCTCAGACAATTAAGAAATGTACACTCTGTAATAGGCCTGATTTGATTTCCTGGTCATCGTGACATCAGTGCCTCTATATGAGGTCACAAAAACCCAAAGTACACCTGACCGCCAGGAACATTCCATAAAAACACCAGTAATAGCTAATTAAAACAATAAAATAGTCTTAAAAACCATAGATTATCTTCTGGACCTGTCTGGAACAGACATTTGTCCCGCCACCATTTTCTAGGGAGCCGAGGGACAAATCTAGTGTTATTATTATAATATACCAAACGGGTCTAAAAACAGAACAAGCATGATTAGGCTTAATCTGTTAAAAATGCAACATCCCACAACCGATCGGTGGGTTTGGAGTCCAATGTGGGTACCACGGGCCTGTACCTGCCAACTCCCTTTATCGGTCTGATACTGTATGTAGTATGTGGTTACACTGAACGGACAAGCATCATATTTAGTCTTAGTTTGATGACGGGAGGACGACGGCACTGGTTGGAATGGCTTTGAAATGGGCCGGCCGTAGTTGTTCCGTGGACAAATCAGAGCTCTGCGTTTCAGACCCAAGCAAAAAGTACAGCAGCCGTAGATGGGATGTAGTGGTTACAGCTCAATCAGAGCACTGGGGTGAAAAATATCCTGCCGGTTTTCCACAGAGGGCTCCACCGTCGACATATGGTCCCTGTGGAGTAACGGATGAGTGTCTGTCTAAGAGTGACACCCTATCTGTGACCCTGCGACACATTGGCTGCAACAGGAGATTTAATGGGGGTGCATGCATTGGAATGCAAAAAGGCATTTCTGCTTCCTTCTCTCCCTCAGGTAAAGTAGCTGCTTCTCCTCTGAAATTCCCTCTTGTCCTTTGTTTTATCCGGTCACCTCTTCCAGCCACAGAGGTTAGGCTTCCACTGATGTGGCTCTTTGACTTCCTGTTTACTACTCTGCATACATTTCTCATAAGTCACTATGTCTCATGTTGCCATGCCAACATGTGAAACCAATCAGAAGTGGAATATCTGGTTGGTGACTACAAAAACACCAGGAAATGATGAGCGGAAGGTTTGGCAGGTCTGACTCTGCCATGTTCCTCAGACGATAAAGGTATTAAAAAACATGTCATCTAAAATGTTACAAATAATAAATAAAAGTCTCTGTATAGGGCATTGTCCAATCAAAGACCATAGTTGTAAAAACACTGCTGCGCGATTGGTCACTGAAACAGGGACCAATCAGGGTGCAGCATCTTCCACAGGAGCCTCCAACGTCCCGTTTATCTCCTCAAATCAAAACGCTGGACACTGGCACCCTCGTGGACCTGCCGCTCTTGGGTACAACAATTGGTTCATCATCTGTCAGGGAAAGAAAATGCAGGACAGTACAATTAAAGCATTGTCTATTGATTATTAAGATGAGCAAAATATGTGACCTGGCAGTTTCTTGTAACTGTTGCCTCTCTCTGCTAACATTACATTTACATTTACGTCATTTAGCAGACGCTCTTATCCAGAGCGACTTACAAGTTGGTGCATTCACCCTATAGCCAGTGGGATAACCACTTTACAATTATTCTTTTTTATATATATATTTTTTTTTAGGGGGGGGGGGGGGGGGGGGGGGGGGGGGGGGGGGGGGGGGGGGTAGAAGGATTACTTTATCCTATTCCAGGTATTCCTTAAAGAGGTGGGGTTTCAAATGTCTCCGGAAGGTGGTGAGTGACTCCGCTGTCCTGGCGTCGTGAGGGAGCTTGTTCCACCATTGGGGTGCCAGAGCAGCGAACAGTTTTGATTGGGCTGAGCGGGAACTATGCTTCCGCAGAGGAAGGGGAGCCAGCAGGCCAGAGGTGGATGAACGCAATGCCCTCGTTTGGGTGTAGGGACTGATCAGAGCCTGAAGGTACAGAGGTGCCGTTCCCCTCACAGCTCCATAGGCAAACATCACCTGTGGTCTGTAGACTCATCTTTACCGGTCTCATCTGTGGTTGCTCTCAACTATTGTTAGTCTCTCAACACTCTCTCTCACATACCCGTAGTTAGCAACAGTGTTAGGTCAGTGTTGGGCCAGCAGCATACCACCCTGCATCCCACTGTAGGCTTGCCTCTGAAGTTAAGCAGGGTTGGTCCTGGTCGGTCCCTGGATGGGAGACCAGATGCTGCTTGAAGTGGTGTTGGAGGGCCAGTAGGATGCACTCTTTCCTCTGGTCTAAAAAAAATATCCCAATGCCCCAGGGCAGTGTTGGGGACATTGCCCTGTGTAGGGTGCTGTCTTTCGGATTGGACATAAAATGGGTGTCCTGACTCTCTGTGGTCAGTAAAGATCCCATGGCACTGATTGTAAGAGTAGGGGTGTTAACCCCGGTGTCCTGGCTAAATTCCCAATCTGGCCCTCATACCATCATGGCCACTTAATCATCCCCAGCTTCCAATTGGCTCATTCATCCCCTGTAACTCTTCCCCAGGTCATTGCTGTAAATTAAACTGTGTTCAGTCAACTTTCCTGGTAAAATAAGGCTCCTCATTGAATTGTGTGACTTTCACCACTTCACATGCATTCATAGTTAGGCCGTCATAGCGTCGCCTGTTGCTAATCTGAGGCCGGGCGCTTAAATGTAGCTCCAGGTTTAGCCTCTCACCTGAGGGTGCGTAGTTTGCTGCACATTGACGGTCCTTCTCGATGAAGAGGGCGGTGGCCAGGAAGAAAGCCCCGCCCCCCACTGCCACGAAAGAGCAGGTGAGGAGGGAGAGCTGCAGGGAGCGGAACTGCCACAGGTACGAGTCAGTCTGCTTCAGAGAGTCTGACACCTGATGGAGGGAGAGGAGGGGGGGGGGGAGATGTTACACAGTAAATGAGGATCATACTCTGTTTCTTTAGACGTGTGTGTGTGTGTGTATCAAATGTGTAGGTATGCGTTTATGTGTGTGTGTGATAATAACATATCACGAGACATACCACTCCTATGAGATAAGGACTACCAGCATCTCCAAGGAGGTGAGAGAGAACGATCTGGAAGGCCTCAGCTGTGGAACGACGAGTGGGGACAACCACGTACTGAGAAAGATGGAGGGAGAGAGAGAGAGGGAGGAGGTAGAGGGGAGATACTTTTTTGCATATCTTATAAGTCACCACAATACAAAAGTACAGTGCATTCGGAAAGTATTCAGACCCCTTGACTGTTTCTACATTTCGTTACATTACAGCCTTATTCTAAAAATGATTAAATTAATTTTTCCCCTTATCAATCTACACACAATACCCAATAATGACACCAGGAGGAGACTCGTCGAGGCCTGGTGACAGACAGTCTACATCCTTCTGCTAGACGTGCCAGGTCTCGACGGGTCCTCCGGCCAGGACTAATTGGGGCTAGTGAGTAATCAAGGGGCTGATTGCTCACCAGCCGTACGGGGCACATAAAGCTGCCAGGAGGGCAGCACACGAGAGGGTTGGAGGTAGTGAGAAGTTGCTACTGGATAGACATCCTCACAGTCTGCTAGAACCGAGGGGCCCAGTGTTCCACCCCAGAGGAGAAAGCATTTCCCGGAGCCCAGAAGGCGGTAACCCGGAAGAGGTCTCCTGGAGGGGAAGATTCTCTGGTCTGTGAAACCAAGATTTAACTCTTTGGCCTGAATGCCAAGAGTCACGTCTGGAGGAAACCTGGCACCATCCCTACGGTGAAGCATGGTGGTGCAGCATCATACTGTGGGGATATTTTTCAGCGGTAGGGACTGGGAGACTAGTCAGAATCGAGGGAAAGATGAACAGAGCAAAGTACAGAGAGATCCTTGATGAAAACCTGCTACAGAGTGCTCAGGACCTCAGACTGGGGCGAAGGTTCACCTTCCAACAGGACAACAACTCTAAGCACACAGCCAAGACAATGCAGGAGTGGCTCCAGGACAAGTCTCTGAATGTCCTCAAGTGGCCCAGCCAGAGCCCGGACTTGAACCCGATCGAACATCTCTGGAGAGACCTGAAAATAGCTGTGCAGTGACGCTCCCCATCCAAACCGACAGAGCTTGAGAGGATCTGGAGAGAATGGGAGAAACTCCTCAAATACAGGTGTGGCAAGCTTGTAGCGTCATACCCAAGAAGACTCATTTGCAGAAATTTCAGAAACCTGTTTTTGCTTCATCATTATGGGGTATTGTGTGTAGATTTATGAAAACAAAAAAACAATTTAATCAATTTTAGAATAAGGCTGTAATGTAACAATATGTGGAAAAAGTCAAGGGGTCTGAATACTTTCCGAATGCACTATAACCTTGAGGTTGGAAGGTTGAGCACGTGCACTAAAGAGTTACATGCATGGGTTACATTACTAGAAATGTGGCTATTCATATATGCCACTGACTTGGCGTGATCTAAATTCCTCAACAGAAACAGAATACATACTTTCCAGTTAGTACACATTTTTGTTGTAACCCCGGACAAGCACACCTGATTCAACTTGTCAACTAATCATCAAGCCCTCAATTAGTTGAATCAGGTGAGTTTGTCATGGGCTACAACAAAAATGTGTACCATTGGGGGTTCTCAAGGACTGGAGTTGGGCAACACTGCTCCAGACAGATCATGCTAATTTCATCAGAAACATCTATATATGGACATTGATTGAATAGGGCACAACCACGTTGCGTTTTAATAGCGAGAGAGAGCGAGAGAGAGCGAGAGAGAGAGAGGATAGTTATGCAACTGAACTCACCAGCAGGATGTCTGCTACGATGGCCCAGTTCATAGACAGGAAGGTCTCTCCCAGGAAGATAAATACCTGATCACACAGAAAAACTGGTTAGACCACCATAACCATACATTGCGAATACAACGCCAGAGAGGAAAGCATATATATATGTGTGTGTGTGTGTGTGTGTGTGTGTGTGTGTGTGTGTGTGTGTGTGTGTGTGTGTGTGTGTGTGTGAAAAAGACAGAGGCTGAAATCTACTAGATGAAAAGCCGAAAATAATATAACATCCTGGCATTTAAAGCATACAACATTTTCAAAATTTCACGTACTATAAAACATTCCATCTTCGCACACAGTTATTTCCATGTATAAAGGCCCACGAGCACCAACATGAAGTTCATAGGGGAATATCAAATTGAGTTCAAATGAAAGCTAATAGTCTATATTTGAGAAAGTAAGGCATATATGCACATTGAACAAAAATATAAACGCAACATGTGCTGGTCCAACATTTCATGAGCTCAAATAAAAGATTCCAGAAATGTTCCATATGCACAAAAAGCTTATTTCTCTCAAATTGTGCAGAAATTTGTTTACATCCATCCCTGTTAGTGAGCATTTCTCATTTACCAAGATAATCCATCCACCTGACAGGTGTGGCATATCAATAAGCTGATTAAACAGCATGACCATTACACAGGTGCACCTTGTGCCGGGGACAATAAAAGGCCACTAAAATTTACAGTTGTCACACAACGCCACAGATGTCTAAAGTTTTGAGGGAGTGTGCAATTGGCATGCAGACTGTAGGAATGTCCACCAGAGCTGTTGCCAGAGAATTGAATGTTAATTTCTCTACCATAAGCCTCCTCCGACGTAGTTTTAGAGAATTTGGCAGTACGTCCAACCGGCATCACAACCGCAGAGCAGGTGTAATCACGCCAGCCCAGGATCTCGACATCCGGCTTCTTCACCAATGGGATCATCAGACCAACCACCCGGACAGCTGATGAAACTGTGGGTTTGCACAAACTAAGAATTTCTTCACAAACTGTCAGAAACTGTCTCAGGGAAGCTCATCTGCGTGCTCGTCGTCCTCACCAGGGTCTTGACCTGACTGCAGTTCGGCGTCGTAACAGACTTCAGTGGGCAAATGCTCACCTTTGATGGCCACTGGCATGCTGGTAAAGTGTGCTCTTCACGGATAAATCCCGGTTTCAACTGTACCGGGCAGATGGCAGACAGCGCGTATCAGTGGCGGTCAGTGCCGTTTAAGACGAGGGAGGATGATTTTTTATTAATTTTTTCATGAGCATGGCCTTATTTCTATTACAGCATATTTGATGACTGTCATTCATTTTCCATTCACATCGATAGGTTTAGGCTAATACATGATACTCAAATTTTACCTGTACCCATAATGAGGTTGCTACTACCTAGCTAATGAATGAAAGTTTACAACGTAGGTGCACAGGTCAAGAGAATTTTTAGTAACCAAGGTGACAGTGACACATTCAATACCGCCTTGCACACTCTTGCCTGCATCTAGCTGATCTAGGGTGTAATCATTCATCCAACAGTTACATATGAGAGTTTCTATTGGATAAATTCAGGTATGTTCATCCCCGTTTCGTTCCATTTGCTTCCGTTTAAGAAACGTCTTTCAACAGAATCGGCGGAATGAATACACCCCTGATCACACGCAAACATTTCACTTTCATAGCAGCCACATACAAACAGCATGATCACTTTGCTCGCTGTGAGTAATATATATATATATATATATATATCCTTCTAGAAACTATCTATGCGCTCTCCTCCTCTCACCTTTTCCCTTGACTTGTGGACTTCAGTGCACAACACATCAGCTAACATAGCATACCTCTCTGTTTGAGTAGGCTTAGCTAGCTGCATTGGCCTTCATGAAGAGGGAGGATAATGAAAGTTCACAGAAGTAACAAGTAAAAGTAGAGCAGACTAGAGTTGAGTACACTATAATGTACTGTACTGAACTATACTGCACTGTGCTGTACTCTACTGACCTCTACTGTGCTGTACTTTGATGTCCAATCTTGTGAAACATAGTTGGAATGTGCATTGCTTTTATTTTTAAATAGTTTTTAAATAAATCGATCCAAGTGAATTTACACCACATATACTGTACAAAGTCTATGATTGGTTCAGATTTGGTCTGGTCTGGACCAACCAAATTTGGTCTTGTTTGGGGGCAGAGCTCATTAAAATAACATCCAGTGTGTAGAATAATAGCCAAATATGCAAAAGAGGACATTGCATATTGAAACCTTTGTGTACCCATTTAGGATACATGAAGAGAATTACATATCCATAATTATGCATTTCTGTGTAGTACAGATCAGGGACCAATGATGAAATTCCGTTATCGGGTGTAAATTCACCTCACTTACTGTAGTTCAATAACCAAAATAGATTTTCATGTCATAGCTGACACCCCATTCTTTTCGCAGACATTGTTGAATCTTAATTCGGAGCAGATATTTAACAACAGTTTTTGTAAAATGTGGATTCATTCAAATTGAGGGAGGTTTTTGCCTCTGCACCATTCTTCCAGTAAATGTGTTTTTGTAAAACCTTCAGTGTAAATTGTTAAAAGTAGTCATAATGCATAGTTATTGTTTGTTACATTTTTAAATCAATGGTTTTTGTTTGCCATACATTTTAAGTGAAAAATCTAAGTCTCAGCGCTATTCCGTTACCGTGGAATTGTCCATACCCAAAATGCATACTACTTAGAACGCATGTATTCGGACATGGCCACACAGAGAGAGAGCGAGAGAGAGAGAGAGATGGGTGTTGACTTACGTAGGTGGCGATGGTGCTGGCCTGAGCAAAGACGATGGCGAGGTAGAGGAAGGGAGCTGAGAGGAGGAGTCCTAGAGCACACACCAGGGGGTCTGCCCTTGGCGTCCTCAACCTCAGCCGCCTACTGGCCTCCGCCCCACTGGCCACACCCAGGATCCCCGACACAACTGTGATGATGCCAAAGTACAGGCTGGGGAGGGAGAGAGTGAGAACGTTTATGACATTTAATTTAATTTGTTTACCCTTGCTGACTCATCAGTGTGGTTTTTGATGTTTTGACAATTGACCATTTCCTGATCAACTGGATTCCTTTGATAGCCAAAGTTTGATGTCTGGTCTCTACTGCTGCTCTCTATTCACTGACTCCTATTGTCGTGCCAAGCCGTTGCAGTTATCAGGAGTCGAGTGTAGTAGTGGCAAAAATGTTGTGATGATTCAATCTTATCCTGTGATTACAGAGGAGTCTGATGATCCCTTAACATTCTGACTGATTATAAAGAGTCTTTATTCAGCACCTAGTTCCTGTGTGTGTGTTACCTGTCAGACGTTTGTGTGTCACCTGTTGGATGTCGGTGTGAGTTTGTCTGTGTCTGTGTGTGTGTGTGTGTGTGTTACCTATCAGATGTCTGTGTTACCTGTCGGAGGTGTCGCAGGGCCCCTTAACACAGGGGGGCCTCTCTCCGGTGAAGACAGCAGCTCTGAAGAGGAAGGCCGGGGCCCAGAGTGCCAAGGAGCCAGTCACAAAGGCCACTGCTGTGAAGCCAAACGTAGACAGCACAAAGCTGCGGCTGCACACAGACACGCACAAAGATATTTGTTTGATAACTCTTCTATAGGACCAAAGATGCATTATAATTGTGCAATGAATACAGAGCTATAGAGATATGGTCAAAACATAGTGGACTATTACAGGGAACATGGGTGTCATTTCAGACTCAACAACACAATATAGAAAATAGGATGCGATTTGATACTGGGCTTGTGATCAACACCATTATCCCAGAAACCCTAGACCCACTCAAATTTGCATACCGCCCCAACAGATCCACAGATGATGCAATCTCTATTGCACTCCACACTGCCCTTTCACACCTGGACAAAAGGAACACCTTTGTAAGAATGCTTTTCATTGACTACAGCTCAGTGTTCAACACCATAGTGCCCACAAAGCTCATCACTAAGCTAAGGACCCTGGGACTAAACACCTCCCTCTGCAGCTGGATCCTGGACTTCCTGACGGGCCGCCCCCAGGTGGTAAGGGTAGGTAACAACACATCCGCCACACTGATCCTCAACACGGGGGCCCCTCAGGGGTGCGTGCTCAGTCCCCTCCTGTACTCCCTGTTCACTCACGACTGTACTCCCTGTTCACTCACCAACAAACTAACATGGTCCAAGCACACCAAGACAGTTGTGAAGAGTGCACGACAAAACCTAAGGAGACTGAAAAGATTTGGCATGGGTCCTCAGATCCTCAAAAGGTTTTACAGCTGCACCATCGAGAGCATCGTGACTGGTTGCATCACTGCCTGGTATGGCAACTGCTCGGCCTCCGACCGCAAGGCACTACAGAGGGTAGTGCGTACGGCCCAGTACATCACTGGGGCCAAGCTTCCTGCCATCCAGGACCTCTATACCAGGCGGTGTCAGAGGAAGGCCCTAAAAATTGTCAAAGACTCCAGCCACCCTAGTCATAGACTGTTCTCTCTGCTACCGCACAGCAAGCCTTACCGGAGTGCCAAGTCTAGGTCCAAGAGGCTTCTAAACAGCTTCTACCCCCAAGCCATAAGACTCCTGAACAGCTAATCAAATGGCTACCCAGACTATTTGCATTGCCCCCCCCCCCGAACCCCCCCTCCCCCTCTTTTACGCTGCTGCTACTCTCTGTTTATTATCTATGCATAGTCACTTTAATAACTCTACCTACATGTACATATTACCTCAACTAACCGGTGCCCCCACACATTGACTCAGTACCCCCTGTATATAGATAGCCTCACTATTGTTATTTTACTGCTGCTCTTTCATTAATTATTTGTTACTTTTATTTATTTATTTATTTCGGTATTGTTGGTTAAGGGCTTGTAAGTAAGCATTTCACTGTAAGGTCTACACCTGTTGTATTCGGCACATGTGACAAATACAATTTGATTTGATTTGATTTGTTTTTTTATGGTGGACATACTTCCTGCAAAGGGCCTTCATGTCACCCAGCCAGCTGGTCCTTTGGAGGGTGTGCTCCGGTCTGGCCTCGATAGCACCCCTTTTCGGCTCTTTCACCACGAACAACAGCAACACCACCGCTACCAGTCCTAACGCAGGAGTCACCTAGGGGGGAAAAAACACAATTTGAATGGCATAATTGATGTATCTGATATGGACAGATAGAACTAAAACATTGAATTATTAAGAGTCAGATGAAAGGTACCACCATGCTTTTACGCATTTTTGTATTATTCCTTTTATGGTTGAGAGTGCATGTATTTTGACTAACTTTTGTGTTGAGAAGTAAGTATAATATCCAACAGCTCAGGGGATGTGTTAACTCACCCGCAGGGCCCAATGCCAGTCCCCTGCCATGTCATCAACCTTTGACCCCACGATGTAGCCCAGACCACTGAGGAAGGAAGGACAATGGAACAAACATTCACCACAGGGTCAATTGGCTCCTCCTCTTATCACATAAGCCAAGACAGATAACAAAGATGGACACAGATGTATTCATTATTATGTGTATATGTTCTATGACCCCACCTGCCCACTGGAATGGCAAAATAGAAGACAGAGAGCATCTGCGTCCTCCTCTCCTTGACGTACAGGTCTGCGATGATGGTTGGGGCGATGGTGGAGTAACTGGCCTCTCCAACCCCCACCAGGCCACGCGTCAACAACAGGAGCCAGAAATACTGACAGGAGGAATGGTGGAGAGGGGGAGGGAGAGAGAGGGGAAGAAAGAGGGGAGGAGAGATGGGGGAAGAAAATAACATGCCTTCAGGTTAAGATTGAACTTTTATTTAAATCAGGGGAGCCCATTGACACCAGGGTCTCATTTTCAATGGTGCCCTGACGACAACAAATTCAACACAAACATTCCAATACAAAAAATAATAATACTTTTTTTTAAATGCAGGTTAAAATAAAAACACAATACATATTAATTTTTTTGCCCCCTTTTTCTCCCCAATTTCATGATATCCAATTGCGATCTTGTCTCATCGCTGCAACTCCCCAACGGGCTCGGGAGAGGCGAAGGACGAGTCATGCGTCCTCCGAACATGAACCGCGCTCCTTAACACCCGCCTGCTTAACCCGGAAGCCAGTCGCAGAGGAAACGCCGTTCAACTGACTACCGAAGTCAGCCTGCAGGCACCCGGCCCGCCACAAGGAGTCGCTAGAGCGCGATGAGCCAAGTAAAGCCCCCCAGGCCAAACCTTCCCCTAACCCGGACGACACTGGGCCAATTGTGCGATCTGAGAGACCCGTTCATATCCGAGAGAAAAAGCCTCCAACTGGGCGCTGCCTGCACCATCAATAAACAACCGATATTGGCCAAATTATCCACAGTTACGTGTCCTTAAAAACTGCCTATAACAAATTACAAAAAAAAGATTTGTTGTGTTTCGATGTGTAGCATACTCAAAACGTTATAGTCTATTGTCGGAGATTTGAGTAATAAATGCATCAGGGCATTGCATGCATATAGGCCTAGGTATCCACTGTATGACATTCATATTTAAAAAATATATTTATATTAAAAGGAGACAATCTTAGGCTTAGCCCTAGAGAGACTGAGAGAAAGATAGAGATATGCCGGCACCATGTTTCCAACATCGACATGTATTTCTTTATACTTGTCAATTGGCTACTACTGCTATACAGATATAGGCGTACAGAAGGAGGCTAATTCATTTGTTCATTTTCGATCAGAATCTATTTTATAAAAGATAAGTATTATATTGATAGATTAAAGGAGTAACTCTGGTAGGCCCAAAACATTCTTCCTCACCTCAAGTTCAACTGTCGGAGTGTCGGTGCGCACTGCCTTCATAGGCCTGCTGTAGCCTAATAATAACCATACTACAGCTTCACAAAGGTTGCTTAACTTTATTAGGGTCATGTCTCCCTAATAACTCCCGAGAGGCGCAGTGGTCTAAGGCACTGCATCACAGTGCTAGCTGTGCCACTAGAGATCCTGGTTTGAGTCCAGGCTCTGTCGCTGCCGGCCACGACCGGGAGACCCATGGGTGGCGCACAATTGGTACAGCGTCGTCCAAGGTAGGGGAGGGTTTGGCCGGCAGGGATGTGCGTTCGTTTCCCACGAGGGGCCAGTATGAAAAAAATAATAATAATTGCATCCACTAACTGTAAGTTCCTCTGGATAAGAGTGTCTGCTAAATGACTAAAAATGTAAAATGTCAAAAGTAAGTTAAGTCATTGTTTATAGGGGAAATACGAACAGGTTATTATTTTGCGGCATTAAATTAATTACCAACAAAGGAGATTGCCTACCGTAGGCCTACCCAACAAATGACAGCAATAGGTTAATGCTATTTATTTTACAACAGGCCTACTTTTAAACCTTCAACTAAATACAGACCACAAAATTAAAGATCAAATTTAATTTAGCAAATGGCAATTTCGCAACAAAATGAAACAAAACACTTTTTGCTTAGGCTATTTAAAGAACCAGCTTCGATTATTAAATAACTTGTCCACAAGGAGGACATTCTGCTTGTAGGCATGCTCTTCTTCCTCTAACTTTTATTTTACTTCAATGAAAAACGCCTCCATCTTCACAATCAACAGTAGTCTAGGCCAAGGCACCTCTCTTGCTCTCCCTCTCAGCAACAGGCGCACATGCGCGCAAGGAGTGTGAGAATGGTGCTGAAGCGTGAATTCGAGCGTAGGATATGATAGACCGCCTCTCCCGGCCCGTTACAATTTTATTTATCACCATTTTAAAAAAAAAAGTGTTTCTTTTTTTTTCCTGGTGTGTGTGTAGCCAACCTGCCCCTCCCTCTCGGAAGCATAGTCTAGTAGCCTACTGTCTCCCAGTGGTCTAAGGCACTGCATCGCAGTGCTAGCTGTGCCACTAGAGATCCTGGTTCGAATCCAGGCTCTGTCGTATCCGGCCGCGACCGGGAGACCCATGGGGCGGTGCACAATTGGCCCAGCGTCGTCCAGGGTAGGGGAGGGAATGGCCGGCAGGGATGTAGCTCAGTTGGTAGAGCATGGCGTTTGCAACGCCAGGGTTGTGGGTTCAATTCCCACGGGGGGCCAGTATGAAAAAAATAAAATAAAAATAATGTATGCATCTGCTAAATGATTAAAATGTACTGACGTTACAAGCGTGATTCAGAAATTAGTAACTTTTTTGGGCTTCAAAACGGTTTTATTTTGCTAGTCGGAACAGTGAACCGGAACCCAAAAAATAATGGTTCTGTTCAGAACTAAACGATTGAGAAATAATTTCGGTTCCAACACCTACTGAAAACGATAGTTAGAAAGTGTCACTCACTTCTCTGGGCGTGTAGGAGCTGGCGAGCGTCACCACGGACCAGAAGCCGATGCCCACACTCATGATCACCTTCCTGTTGTACCTGTCGCCCAGGTAACCAAAGACAGGAGCCAGGAACATGTAGCTGCAGATGAAGACTGTTTGGAGCAGCCCTGACTTCCCATCATTGATCCCAAAGTACTGCTCAATGTCAGGCAGAACACCTAAACAAGACAGAGAGGCCTGTGTTATATGGCATATGGGAAATTACTTATCCATAGCACTTTTTGGGGTTATGATAGTCTAATCCAACATGCTTTTTAGGAGTAGCCTATGCTTCCGTAGCAAACGGATCCATGAATGTTCTTTGTGTGAAATTATCATAATATATAACTCTCAAAGGTCCCGCACAGTCTAATCATGTTTTTCATAAAATGTGATGATATTTAGATGAAACCAGAACAAAGTAGGATGACCAAATTATGAAAAATTACTGTTGCTTCTACATTGATAAAGTCTGATCAGAGAGTTACTAAACATCACATAAAGCCTCATTTTAATACACCATGGTAACATCTTATTATCTTACCTACTTTAAATAAGTATAGCCTTGTAACTCATTGCAGAAGGCGTGTTGGCAGAGGTGCGTGGTTTTGATAGCTAGGTAGCTAGTCTACTGGTACCAAAATGTTACTGCAGTGTGTCAGCAAATATAATTAGAAGCTAGCTAAGTCTTCAGCCAGCATGGAACAAACGTGGGGGAAGGGTTGCCCAAAACTGACGCAGTCGTCATGTCATGATATCGAGAGACATTCCAATTGGAAGATGCATTCAAATTTCTGGACATCATTGATAGTCATTATATATTAACATTGTTTGACAGTCAATATACATGTATTTAATTAAATGTATCCAGACCTCACCCTGTAAAGTTTCAACTGAAATTGTCCAAGATGAATTAGCTAGCTAGCTTTATAAACAGTGCTGACAATTCCATTTGGGCTAGCTAGATAAATTATAAAGCCAACATTTTGTCTATATTGATGCCGTTACAATAACCAAAGAGTTGGGTAAACAATTTGTGAAACCATGATATATGACAGGATTGGATGTTGTATGCAATTTCAATGTTGTTTGAGTTGCCTTGTGTATCAGGAAATTTGTTTGAGATAATCTCACTGCAAGATTAGGTGTTTTCAAAGAACCGCCAGTCAAGGTGAGCTCCCGCCAACTGCCTACTAGCTCCCCGCCCACTCAGTCTTTTTAGACTTCCTGGTAGTTTGACATGAGAGAAAAAGTACAAAAAAGATATATACATATATCTAAATCGGGAAAAAATATTATGGGTGATATTTAAGTCACGCATAAGGCTTGGAAATCGGAATCAGAATGACTGTTCGGGACCTTTAAGGATCAATATCTAAACACTGATGATATGTAGTTCCCCTTTAAAGAAATGTTAGGTGAGCGTTGGGTTAGGTAAATGTTGGTGTAACGTTAGATTGTCCATACCAGCCACGGTGAACCTGTCCATGTAGTTGAGCAGGTTGATGAAACACAGGACAATAACGGTGAACACTGCTCTTATGCTGGACACTCCGCTGGCTGGCTCTTCCTCTTCCCGGCGCTGGCTAGGCCCCGCACCAGGCTCTTCCGAGCCCTCTGCCTCGCTGTCATCAGAGAAGAAGGGCGTGGTGTCAGAGGTGGGGTCGGCTAGAGACATCACAGCTGCTGGAGAGAACAAGAAAGGAAACTGAATGATGAGGAGGCCATTTTGGGTCAACGCAGTAGGCACCTTGAGTTAAATTGAACTCACGTGCAAAGAGTTTTCTGTCAGAAACAAAGGAGAGGGAAAATAAAGATGAAAAAGTAAATAGGAAAAATTCCTAAATGAATGGCAGAGACACACGAAGGTCCAAATGCATTTCAAAAGTGTGTCATTGTAAAACCAAAGCTAATGTGTGTGGTTAGGGAAAGTAATGTAATTTAGAGCCAGGGGAACAAGACAGTCACAGATAATGTGGGAGAAGGGGGGAGTATTGTGGTGCAGTCTTGTGATGTACGTTAACGAAACTAGCTTACTGTCATGTGAACATGGACAGCACGTGTCTGAATGTGTGTGTGCAGAGTGTTAAGTCTTAGTGTGCATTTGTATCAGCAAGAATGAAGGCTGTTGAGAAAGAGTATGTGAGGAAACTCCGGAAATGAAAGATACCATAGAGTGGCGCAGTGGTCTAAGGCACTGCACCGCAGTGCTAGCTGTGCCACTAGAGATCCTGGTTCGGATCCAGACTATTGTAGCCGGCCGCGACCAGGAGACCCATGGGGCGGTGCACAATTGGCCCAGCGTCGTCTAGGGTAGGGGAGGGAATGGATGTAGCTCCATTGGTAGAGCATGGCGTTTGCAACGCCAGGGTTGTGGGTTCGATTCCCACGGGGGGGCAGTATGATAAATAATGTATGCACTAACTAACTGTAAGTCGCTCTGGATAAGAGTGTCTACTAAATGACAAAAATGTAAATGTAGATAGAACAATGAGTTACAACTCGAGTATGGTTTCCCATTTCCTCAAGTGTTTTTCAACGTCACACAAAGACTAACTTTAGGTGGTGAATTTGTGCTGACAGACAGGTTAATACACGAACATCCTCTTCAAAACAACAAGCTACGGTGTGCATAATTAACCACAAAATTATGTCTAGAGTAGAGGGTTAAAATGCTTCGTCTGTTTACAGATAGCTAAATAAAATACCAATGTGATTCTGATCGATACATGAACCTTGAACTTAGCAAATGTGGCCAAGTTAACTAGTTTGAGCAGGGTTCCATTGTCTTTGTAAGCTTGCAGAAGTAGACATTATGTAGTTAGCTGGCTACCGTTACGTGATAGCTAGCTATTCCGACCCTATGATCATGGGACTTTGATTGGTTAGCTTGTTGCTAGCAACCAGTGGCATGGTAAACAACTCCCAATCACCTCGTTAGCTGGCTAGTTGGCTGGCCACAAAACACTACATTAACATTTTAGTCATTTAGCAGACGCTCTTATCCAGAGCGACTTACAGTTAGTGAGTGCATACATTTTCAAACTAAAGCTACCTAACAGATCTGGTCATTCATCAATGTCAGTACGTTAACTAGCTAATACTCTAACAAATGTATCCAGTATTCTTTGTAACAGATGTCCATAGTAGCTTTGTGGCTGTGTGAGTCAAAGCTACTTTTTGTTATTGTTTACCTGGTAGCTGGTCAACGCAGTGATGAGTCGGGATTTATGCGTCTTCACGAGTTTCTATCTGTCTCGGGTCCTGTGTTGATGTCAGATCTGCTCTTTCTTGTGTTTTATTGCATTAGCTTAAACGCTAGCGTCAACATTTCTTGACGCTTTCTGGAGAAAATGGTCGGACGAAGGTAAACCGCTATGTTATTATCTTCCTCATCGGCGCAGCCATGTTGAAATTGTATCCAACTTCCGCCCCTTACTCACATGACTTATTACAACACCACCACATACTGGAAATCGACCAACAATGAAACTGATACCATTTCTGTTGATACCAGAGACTGAATACTGAATAGATAGCAAAACAAAAAGGGCTTTCATTGGTAAATAGTTGAATAATAAATCCACAAATAATTTTTTCCTTGCCTCAACCAATTATGTTTAAAATTATTGGCCTCAACCGACCAACAGTGTGGTGAGATAACAGTTATTGTGCTGACGTTGCTTCCAGAGGCAGTTTGGACCTCGGTAGTGAGTGTTGCAACCAAGGACAGACGATTTTTACATGATTCAACACTCGGCGGTCCGGTTCTGTGAGCTTGTGTGGCCTATCACTTCATGGCTGAGCCATTGTTGCTCCTAGGTGTTTCCACTTCACAATAACAGCACTTACAGTTGACCGGGGAAGCTCTAGCAGGGCAGAAATGTTTTGAACTGACTTGTTAGAAAGGTGGCATCCTATGACCGTGCCACATTGAAAGCTCATTGAGCTCTTCAGTAAGGCCATTCTACTGTCAGTGTTTGTCTATGGAGATTGCATGGCTGTGCGCTCGATTTTATACACCTGTCAGCAACGGGTGTGGTTGAAATAGCCGAATCCACTAATTTGAAGGGGTGGCCACAAACGTTTGTATATATAGTGTATTTTGCTCAAATAGGAGATATAAGGCACCCTGTTGTCTATAACTTTTCCCTGTATAATGCACTACTTTTGACCATAGCCCTATGGGCCCTGGTCAAAAATGTGTGTACTATGTATAGGGAATATGGTGCGATTTGGGACACCCTGCCTATTGTAAACCATTTCGCCATCCCATTCCCCCAGTTAAGCAAATGAAGGGGACTATAATTGATGTAGTAAATTACTTTTCATGTCGATTACTTTATGTAATAAACATTCTACTTTTCATGTCAATTACTTTATGTAATAAACATTCTTAATTGTGTATGTACAGTATTTCCCTTTTGAAGGTTTAATAAAACCTTAATTCAGCCAAGAAATCCATATTTTCATTGATGAAATATTCAACAGACCAATTAGATTAATTAGTTGCCATTCAGCCTCATCTAGCCTTGGTATGGAATAACTGATAACTGACAAAATACCTCAGCCTTAGGAAATCATTGGGGATAGAAGTCATACTTTCAGTTTGCACAAATCTTTATTTGACTTGCTGTAATACAGAGATACAGACCATATAAAAGCATACATTTAATCTAACAATGTCTTCATTGTGTCTTAATTGAAAATAAAAGCATTTTTCCTTTATTCACCATTTCAAAAAGGAAAGCGCAATACCAGTATTAATGGCAAGCAGGCTCAGGCAATATATATAATGACTATTGAAAAATTACTAACACTTCAAAACCCTATGGTCAGATGGCTTTTCATAAAGATGTCAGGGTAAGTAATAGAATCCAAGTTTCTGAGTGTGTGGGACTTGAGGGGGAGAAAGAACCAGTGGAGGCAGCAACAGGCAGGTAGCAGGAAGAGGGGGGCCAGGTGGGATTGGGCCAGGCATGTCCAGATGTCAGGCCAGGGTGTCCTCAGTCACGGTCCAAGAGTCTCAGGCCCTCCGGAAGGGGAGACAGAGAAAGAGAAAAGATGAGGGTTAGTGAGAGAATGGCTAAGATTATAGTACACCATATGCACTGGGGGTAGAGAATAATCAATAGTGTTGCTGTGGACACTGGATAATCTGACTAACATACACACACAAACACAACCTGTTTGACCTCGCTGTGATACTGAGTCAATTCAGGTAGCATTCAATGTCTTCCATTTGTGTTAACCATGGCAGCCAGCATTGTAAAAAAAGAGATGTGCAGAAAGATACTCAGCCTCTGTGTCTGTGGATCCTTTCCCCTTAATGTATTTTTCATGTCAGCCAGGCCCAGCTTTTCAAAGAAACACCATTTAATTCAATCTCTCGAGTCTATTGCTTCAGTCCTTGTTTCGTTTTCACTTATTTCTACCTGGTAAATAAGCAACAATGCTGGGTAACCACAAGGAGAATAAGGTGAGGAAACAGTCCATGCCAGCCAGGCCCATCTTTTTAAAGAAAACACCATTTCTTTCAATCTCTATTTGAGCAAAATAAGTAGTTTTTGTTGTGATCACAATAAAATCCTAACAATTCAGGTAAAGAGCGCCACAGTCAGGCAGACAAATCTGAATGTTCTATCATAAAGTGCGAACAATTAGTTTCCCTTGCTGTTATACTTAGAAATACTATAACAGTAAATTAATAGATGACATTCACTGCTATAAACCTGTCTCCAATAGAATCGCATAATTTACACAGACCCAGCGCGGACCTTTGACAAATAAATATCCGTGTGAAAAGGCGTCCAAATGGTCTGTTTCAACAACGAACTCAATGTATTCCGAACACTGGTGGTAACCAGATAATCCCAATAATTTAGGTAGCCCACCTAGTAAACGATGTCCCCCTCTGGTATGTTCTATCGTGAAATGGCTGGGACTGGTTGTTGTTTCCCTGTTAACTACTTACCAATATTTTACTTATTAAGTCAAAAACAAAATTAACTGCAATACACTGGTCTCAAATATATTAGCATAACTATGCTACACAGAGCCACAGCGAAGCAGTTGTAAAATGAGATGCTTTTCACCATATTAAAACGTGTCACAGTTTAACATGCCTAGCTCTGCCCACTGGGGCGTAATTACGGAGCGCTCTCTGAAATAAGCGCTCGTATCGTCATATACCAACGGATCAAGTTCTCACCACACCAGCGTACAGGTCCATTTAAAAACAATTCAGATACAACATCAACAGATGACAACAGAGACATTTTTATTTCAAAATCGGTTCAAAACACATCTTGTAAATAAATACATACAGTGAGCAGCATAATTCATTGGACAGTGAACATTTTTTTGCACTTTGAGTTTGAAAGGATACAATGACAATGAGGGTGAAGTGCAGACTGTCAGCTTTAATTTGAGGGTATTTTCATACATATTGGATGAACCGTTTAGAAATGACAACACCTTTTGTACATGGTCCCCCCATTTTAAGGTACTACAAGTATTTGTTAAATTGGCTTCACAGATGTGTGTCGTTAGGCAGGTGTATTCATTTGTGTTGTTAGTGAATGCAGGAGAGCTGTTGATGAATAGTATTGATTCTAGACTTTGCTATTGCCTTTGGAGGTTGTTGTTGGGGTGTGACAACATGAGGAAGACAGCAGTGTCGATGCAAATGAAGCTGGCCGTCATAAGGCTCAGAAATGAAAATCAATCAATCAGGAACATTGCAAAAACCCTGGCCATGCCCAAGTAAACAGTTTGGTTCATCATTAACAAGAAAAAAACAACCGGTGAAATCAATTATGTCAAAAGACCCGGTAGACCGAGGAAGACCACTGTAGTGGATGACCGGAGAATACTCTCTATGGTGAAGAAAACCCCCCTGACAACAGCCCAACAGATCAAAAACACTCTCCTGGATGCAGGTGTAGATGTGTCAGTCTACCACACGTAGAAGACTACACCAGCAGGACTGCAGAGGGTACACTACAAGATGCAAACCACTGATAAGCCTGAAGAACAGAAAGGCGAGATTACAGTTTGCTAAAAAGCACCTAAAAGAGCCCCAAGAGTTCTGGAAAAAAGTATTGTGGACAGATGAGACAAAGATGAACATGTACCAGAGTGATGGAAAGGGGAAAGTGTGGAGAAAAAAAAGAAATGCCCATGATCCAAAGCATACCACCTCATCCATGAAACATGGTGGAGGGGGTGTTATGGCTTGGGCCTATATGGCTGCCAGTGGAACAGGCTCACTTGTCTTCATCGATGATGTGACTGCAGACAGAAGTAGAACAAAGAATTCTGAAGTCTACAGAAATATTTTATCTGCTCAGATAAAACCAAATGCCTCCAAACTCATTGGATGGCACTTCATCATGCAACAAGACAATGACCCTAAACAAACTGCTAGAGCAACAAAGGGGTTTTTGATGGCCAAAAAGTGGAAAATCCTTGACTGGCCGAGTCAATCACCGGATCTGAATCCAATTGAACATTCATTTTACATGCTGAAGAGGAGACTGAAGGCAATAAGTTCCCGAAACAAGCAGGAACTGAAGATGGCTGCAGTACAGGCCTGGCAGAGCATCACCAGGGAAGATACCCAGCGTCTGGTGATGGCGATGCATCGCAGACTTCAAGCAGTCATTGCATGCAAAGGACATGCGACCAAATATTAACAATGATTACTTTATTCTACATTATGTTAAACTGTCCAATGTTTTTTGATGCCGAAAATGGGGGGGGGGGGGGGGCATGTACAAAAGCTTCTATAATTTCTAAACGGTTCATTCGATATGTATGAAAATACCCTCAAATTAAAGCTGACAGTCTGCACTTCACCCTCATTGTCATTGTATCCTTTCAAACTCAAAGTGCTAGAGTACAGAACCAAAATAACAAAACAATGGTCACTGTCCAATGAATTATGGAGCTCACTGTAAATAATCATAAATTGATGGCGGCAGTATTGAAGAACCTGAATTGGACCAAGTGCAGTGAGTGCATCTTTTAAAAAAACAGCACTGGGCCATCTTTCTTTCACTTTAATTTGTTTATTTTTTGGTCCATAGCATATACAAAAAAATCCTCTATGACAGAGGTTCTCAAATCTTTCCTTGGGGACCCCCATTCCATGTATTTGAACTATTCCACAGCTAGCACACCTGATTAAAATGGTCAACAAATCATAAAGTCCTTGACTAGGTGAATCAGGTGAGTTAGTTCGGGGCTACAACAAAATTGTGAAACGTCTGGGGATCACAGAGGAGATGTTTGAGGACCACTGCTCTATGGAAATACCACGGGTGTTCACACCCACACCTCGATGACATCACCGTCTTCCATGTCCAACTGGGAGGGTGTCTGGCTGTGGACGACCTTTGACCCGTCAAACTGGAAGCGCACCTTGCGTCTGGCATCCATGGACATACTGGACACATACTGGGAGAGGATGGAGCCCAGGGGGGCATCCTGAGGAAGAGAGAGAGATGAGAGAGAAGGGGAAAATTATATTGTTTATGAACAGTTGAGAAGATAAGGTGAGTTTAAGACTAAGGCTGTACTCCAAACAGCTTCGTTCCTTCTGCCCTTGAACCTTATCCTTACACATGTGCTCAACCCCAAATCAAGCTTCTTAGTTGTGAGAAACGTTGGGTAATGCTCACTTTGTGTAGGGAATATTCCTGTGCTGAGCCTTTCTCCTTGGCCTGCAGTCGCACAGTGAGCATGTCACCACTTTGCTCTGGCTCATTTTTATCATCCGCTGCTATGACGACGCAGTCTGACAGAAGGGAGGGTAGGGTTAACAGAAAAGAGGGTTCGTGATCAAACAGTGAGAGTGGAGTTGCTGCCTTAAATTATGAATCAATGCATTAGAACAGCGATTCTTAACTGGTGGGTGTAAAAACAAATATATACTCCAGTCTGAACTTAAATGACTTAAATCAGGTAGAAAGTGTGTAGAAATGATAATGAACTTACATTTTTTTTTTAATGTAATCTCTGAAAAAAATATATTCAATCACAGTATTTTCAATATAGAGCTATTAGCAGCGCTATTTTGGTAGATTTTTTAGTCTCAAACCAGAGTTTATTAACATTCTTCATCAAGAATATGGGCAAGATTTTATTGACGATGAAACAGGTGGGAATGTTGTTCCCTTGTCATTTAATTGCTAAATTTACTATCAATAGTTTTCCAGATGGTATTTTGGCGATTCTTTTTCGCGATGCTAATATTGTGTCGTGACTGAGACAACCTGGTTCAATTTGGGTCCAGAGGCAAAACCAGTTGAGAAGTTGAAGTGCGACACTTTCCCCGTTGTAATGACTGTGTGAGACATCCAGGTGTGCATCCCACTAATGTATGCCACTATGAGTCATCTCACCTATGATGTCAGCGATGCCCAGGCCCAGCTCGTTGGCTGTGGAGTGGACAGGAAGCTCTATGTCTCTCCTCAGTAACAGGATGCGGGAGGGCGGTACCTTGAGCTTGACTGACAGCTGCTCCACCGCTTTGCTCAGGGGCACAGTCTGGGAATGAAAAGCTTCAAGTTAGGAATGAAAAGAAACCTCCAGCTTACTTGTGTAGCAGAGGTGGCTCACTGAGCTAAGCTAACATGATGATGAGTAACCTTGCCTGACACCAGAAGACTTATGTTAGCTCCCAGAGTTAATAATGCCAAAGGTTTTAGCTTAGTAGGCTTTAAGAGTCTTGTGGCGCACAGACTACCCGGGTTCAAAAGCGGTCACACTCTTCATCCAACTGGTCTCAGCTCTGGCACAATCTTTTATCTGCAATAAAAATTACACTGTCGCCAAGGCAACAGTTTTCCTAATTGAATTTCATAACTATACTAAGCAAAAATATAAACGCAACATGCAACAATTTCAACAATTTTACAGAGTTACAGTTCATTTAAGGACAACAGTCAATTGAAATAAATTCATTAAGCCCTAATCTATGGATTTCCCGACCAGGCAGGGGTGAAGCCATGGGTGGGCCTGGGAGGGCATAGGCCCAGCCACTGTGGAGCCAGGCCCAGTCAATCAGAATGAGTGTTTCCCCACAAAATGGCTTTATTACAGACAGAAATACTCCTGTTTCATCAGCTGTCCGGGTGGCTGGTCTCAGACGATCCCACAGGTGAAGAAGCCGGATGTGGAGGTCCTTTGCTGGCGTGGTTACACGTGGTCTGTGGTTGTGATGTCTGTTGGACATACTGCCAAATTCTCTAAAACAAAGTTGGAGGTGGCTTATGGTAGAGAAATTAACATTACATCATCTGGCAACAGCTCTGGTGGACATTCCTGCAGTCAGCATGCCAATTGCACACTCCCTCAAAACTTGAGACATCTGTGGCATTGTGTTTTGTGTCAAAACTGCACATTTTAGAGTGGCCTTTTATTGTCCCCAGCACAAGGTGCACCTGTGTAATGATCATGCTGTTTAATCAGCTTCTTGATATGCCACACCTGTCAGGTGGATGGATTATCTTGGTAAAGGAGAAAAGTTCACTAACAGGGATGTAAACAAATTTGTGCACAAAATTGGAGAGAAATAAGCTTTTTGTGCGTATGAAAACATTCTGGGATCTTTTATTTCAGCTCATGAAACATGGGACGAACACTCTACATGTTGCATTTATATTTTTGTTCAGCATACATTCAGCCTGAATTGAACACAAGGTGATTTTTAGTCCAGGAATACATTTACTCTGAATCTGGGAAACTGGCCCCTAGATGTTACAAAACCGACCCTGGACCACCAGTTAATGGCAACCTACACCTTTAACCCGAGTCACGACACACTCACTTCAGCATCACTATGACATAACAGGAAGTGGTGCTATTCCTGATTCTTACGGTTAGCACAGGGATCTTGTAGAGGTCTGTCCGGCTGCGGAACTTGAGGGCGATCTCTCTGGATGTCAGGGGGCTGTGGTCTTGGGAGGGGGCGAGGGGCTGGCTCCTGGGCCGGGAGTTTGGGGATATGAGGATGATGTCATCATCGTCATACTCGGTGAAAGGAGGGGAGGGGCAGCCGTGGCGTCCAGATAGCCCCTTGGCCTCGGGAGAGAGGAGAGAGCCCACAGCCTTAAGCTTTCTGTTGATCTCTCTGAGAGAGAGAGAGAGAGAGAGAGAGAGAGAGAGAGAGAGAGAGAGAGAGAGAACCACCAGGGACAAGCGTAGGGAGAAAGAGACAGAGCAAGACAGAGAGAGAGAGAGAGAGACCGATAAAGTGAGTGGTGATGATATTATAATTGCATTACTGAAAGGGCATTGCATTTCTGTCTCGGACATAGACAAAATGTCAACTCACAGAATCTTTCGATTGGCCCGATTGGATACTTTGTCAAAAGGCCTGCCTGGAGGTAGTGGTGGAGAGGGGGAGCGGATGTCTACCCTTAGAGAGAGAGATTTTAGGGGGGGAAAAGGTTACTACGCTAAGAATTGTGAGCTGTTCTGGCTCGCACAAGCCAAAGCTTGTGCAAGGCTACTTACTTTAACTAAGAATTTGTTAAAGATGCACTATGCAGAAATCGCTCCGCCATTTCCTGGTTGCTAAAATTCTAAATAGTTTGCCTAATTTCAGTTTATGTGACAAAATAAGCAAGTATAGTGTAGAGAATAATTGTACCATCTAAACCGCTGTGAAATATATTTTCCATAACCAAAAATATTGTATTTTAGCGGTTTGAAGCTGGTGTACAAAACCGAAAGTAAAAGACGCAAAAACGAAACTTAAGAACAGGGAGCATAGAAATAGCGCACATAGAACAGATTTACCGCTTCTTAAACTTGCTTCTCATAGAAATGTGTGTTATAGAGCTGCCATTTTCATGTGAATTTGGTCAGGTCCCCCAAAAAGTTAAATATTGCAGCTTTAAAACCATACTTGAAATATTGTACATCAATACAAATTAAATACACTACTGCCACCTTCTGGTTGTCTGGGGTAGTACAAAAACATGCTACATATACAGTAAACACAGTATGTGAAAGCAGAACAGAGTACACCATAATTATAACATTCTAATGAATCAGACACTTTAGCAGCAAGTAACTCACGGATCTTTGTCCTCTGGCTCAGACTCATCCTCCGAGTCATTCAAGGAAATGCTGATTGGCTTCTTTTTCTTTGAGGGTGGAGACTTGGCCCACAAACTGAGCTCCTCTGCATTGTCACCTAGGTAGAGAAATTAAATTCCATGTACAGTTCAACAGACAGGAATTGAACTGGAATTAACTAGTAGCAGACCAGACATCTGTCAGTCAGTCAGTGGGTGTGTGTCTGTCAGTGTGTGTGTCTGTCTGTAGTTCATACCTGCATTAACATCGCAGGCGAAGACAGTTGGATTCAGCTGTAAGCTGCTGTTCACCTGCAAACACGAATACAAAATTACCAGTATTTGGTAATAAAATAGATTTTACCAATAGCCCAGTCCCATTGCTTTGTCAAGGCAAAAAAGCTGTGTGAGGGTTTTGCAATTGTTCATCTGCAGCAGTTGACATACAAATCAAAATATTTCTGTGGATGGATCAATCTACTTTGATATACTCAGGCAACACAGTGATACAGAGAATCACAGACAAATAGACTATGCCAGTCAATAAAATAAATAAAGCGCATTTAAATAGAATTGACTATGCCAGTAGTAGAGTATTAAAGAACTTCACACTATAAAATTAGAATAATTAAATAGGAACAGGAATATCAGTAATTTAATAGAATCTTATGGGCCACACCTTGTTGGAGTAGATAGGCACAGTAGTAATAGACGAGGGGTCGATAATTCGACGCCGTTTGGGTTGAGGCTTGACGAGGGCGGTCGACTCAAGGTCGCTGTCACTGTCAGAAATCTGAACGAAGCGGGGAGATCACACGCACACACAGTAAGCTTTGATCCATGATTTACATGCTGAATTAACGTTACTGTAAATTGGACAAACTTGTAAACCTTTCACAAGCTAGTAAACTGTCATCGAACTATTTATCTTGCTTTTTTCCATTCTTCCCCTCTAATCAGCGACTGATATGGGTGCAATTAATTATTAGGTAGAACAGAAAAACAGCAGTAGTCCGGACGTCGTAAGGTAAGATTTGAATAGCCCTGCCATACACCAACCATCTCACTAAGCAGGTCTAGTTTAATCGGATCTATCACAGCCGGTGGGGGATGGCTGGCTTGGTTAGAACAGCATAAGCATATCATTATGCACGCTAATAATGAAAATAAACGTTGACGCTAGCAGCACCAGCAAACCTAGCTAGCTTATGCTAGCACAGATCGAGCTATTGTTTTAGCTAACTGGCTGCCTACTTGAGTTGAAAGACTCGTTTGCATGCTTTTGTGATAGATTGCTTTCTACACTAAACGATAAACGCTAGCTTATCGGTGAGAACTTTTCTTTTGGACGTCCCGGAAAAAACGTACCACTTCAGCCATCTTGTTTCCCTCCAATGTGATGATTTCAACCAATCGCATCAGTGTTTGCTGGGGGGAGGTTGTGACCTCATTCTGGACCAATCATCTCTGAGAAGAAGACGTGGTCGTAGGACCGTAGGACGCGGTCTGTACTGTCAAAGAGTTTCTAAACCCAGAGGCGCAACATCGCAAGACTTCCAGGAACGCTTAGTTAGCAGACCAAACAGACTAGGCCGGGGTTTTTTTTTATGTTTGAGAAGTCCATAAGAGAAGTGAAAGGTTATTCCTTAGTTGTTAATTTTCTCGAAGTTGAAAGGCACAACCTAGATTCGAGCCAATGTCTTAGGTAGTTGAACATGTTATCAGTAGTGGAAAAAGTACCCAATTTTCATACTTGAGTAAAAGTAAAGATACCTTAATAGGAAATGACTCAAGTAAAAGTCACCCAGTAACATACTACTTGAGTAAAAGTCTAAAAGTATTAGTGTGAATTGGTCAATTTCTGTCCTGCAAAGCATTCAAAATGTAGGAGTACTTTTGGGTGTCAGGGAAAATGTATGGCGTAAGAAGTACATCATTTTCTTTAGGAATGTAGTGAAGTAAAAGTAAAAGTTGTCAAAAATATAAATAGTAAAGTAATGTACAGATACCCAAAAAAACTATATAAGTAGTACTTTAAAACAGGGACGCAACTTTCACTGGGGACCCCTCATTCTGAAATTGCATTTTTGTCCCCCCCAATTTTATAATTGGAATGTGATACAAAACGAGGCAATGGTGTGTTTTAGGACCATGCGGACGCCTCCGAGCATTTTTTATTTTTTTAATGTCCCCCCCACGTCTAAAACCAAAGTTGCGCCCCTGCTTTAAAGTATTTTTACTTAAGTACTTTACACCACTGCATGTTATTACTCCAACCTCGTGAAATGTACAAACTGACACGTTTTAATTTTCGTCCAAAATAACTTTCTATCGAACGAGTGCGGTTGATTTGAAGGCCTGCACATGCACAGTTCGGCTCGAGACGACCGTTAGACCCAATGGCTTGTTTCTATGCATGAGCTTTGCTAGCCAACGTCGCTATGACATCGCCTACAAATGTGCTTCGGGATTTCTATTGGAGAATCAGTTTTAGCCTATCTTCATGCTGTACTGTCTTTTGTTCTGTTCTGGGCCTGGTTTCCCAAAAACATCTTAAAGCCAAGTTAATCGTTAGAACCATAGCTCTACATGAAATGAGTATGAATAGGAAATATAGCTAAATGCATAGGAAATGTAGTCATTGACAAGGTTAGAAATAATTATTTTTAATATAAATAATAATTGTGTCATTTGTTGGTGAAACCATAATTAGGAGAGGAAGTACAAAACCATCGACGCTAGACAGAGAGGAATTTGCTTAAGCAAAAGGCAGTTTATTAAACACAGAGATATCTGTTACTGTTAGCTAACATGCATGGGATCCTGCTAATTAACATGCATGGACCTAATCATATAGCACTCTATTAGTGTCAGCTGAGAAGGTTGGATAAACAGAGTTTACAGCATTACTTATACAATGTAACATAAAGGAAGGGGTCCTTCTTCTAGTCCCTTGATTGGTTCCCGAGGCGTAGGAGGCGGGTCTGCTCTGTCCAGAGCAGATGCCCCATTGGTGCACGGCAGAGTCCTCTGCCCTTGGCACCCGACCAGTAGACAGGGGAGTGGAGAATGAGTGTGCGTGCAAATGAAATGTTTTGTGTGTGTCCAGGGAACTCGTGAGGAGTATCTGTTGGTTTATGGCCGGAGGTGGGGGTGTTGTCCTATTATCGCATTCCTAGGCCATCTGGTGAGAAGATAAGGTGTTCTCCTCTGTCCTTTGTTCTCTGACCTGGAACAGCATTTATTGAAAACAGGCTCCAAATGAGTCTTACAGAACATTTTAGTCAGACCAATCTAACATTTACATTACATTTTAGTCATTTAGCAGACGCTCTTATCCAGAGCGACTTACAGTTAGTGAGTGCATACATCATTTTTTAAATGTTTCATACTGGCCCCCCGTGGGAATCAAACCCACAACCCTGGCGTTGCAAACGCCATGCTCTACCAACTGAGCTACATCCCTGCCGGCCATTCCCTCCCCTACCCTGGACGACACTGGGCCAATTGTGCGCCGCCCCATGGGTCTCCCGGTCGCGGCCGGCTACGACAGAGCCTGGATTCGAACCAGGATCTATAGTGGCACAGCTAGACCATTGCGCCACACGGGAGCCTGAAACAAAGCCATCTACTTTCATATGCAAAATATACACTTACTCTACTGTTATAACCGCTTTTAAAAGAGTTGCAGCCGACAGTATTTTTAAGTGACAACACGTTTGTGGTGTCCATCTTCCGTTTACACACAGGTGTTTGGAGACGCAGATAGCTAACTAGCACAGGTAGTCGACTGTCTTCCGTCTGTTTTCCGTAAACAAGCACTGTAACATGAAAATATGGCCATGTGGGAACCCTAACCCAATAAAGGTGCGTTGTATTTTAACTTGTTTTTCGCTGATATGAAAGATAGTTACTTATGTTTCCAAAATCGTACTGCAAGCAATGCGTGTTAACGTTTAGTGCAAGTGTCGGGGCTCTTAATAAAACTCCCCAGGCCAGAAGATACTATCGTCAATAGGCGCTAAAGGTACTTAGCGGTTGTTTCTCCCCTTGTCTCTTTCTCAGCCTCTGGTTCAGAGAGGAAGCCAGGGCCCGTTGTAGCCACTTTCTCCACAGCGTCAATCTATAATTGCGTCGTCCTCTCCTTCTCGGTCTTTCTCAGCCTTTGGTTCCAAGAGGACGCGAGGGCCCTTTACAGACACTTTCTCCACATGATCTGCAAGCAGTTTCTCCTCTTCGAACTTAGTTTCTTCCTCTCTTTCTGGTTCTTTCTTGGGCCCTGGTTCAGAGAGAAGCCCAGAGTCATTTGTAGCCACCTGAGGAAGCAGTTTCTCTATTGTGTCTGCAAGCAGTTCCTCACCTTCTGTCGTTCCTCCCTCCCCTTCCATTTTGGGTGCTGGGGAATGCTGCTTTTTAGTTAGATTTTCGACAGCATCAGAAATACATTTTGGATTGTTTTTATTCTCCTCAGTCAGGTTGGACACGTAGGCTGATCGAGCAGCAGTGAGGGCTTTTCGATATTGCATGGTACTGTCTTTCCAAGCTTGTCGGAAGACTTCCAATTTGGGGGGGGACTTCTTTGTCGCCATCTGACAAGACACTTTCGCTAAGGCTTCTGCCAGCTTCCGTCTCCTTTCCTTGCGGTTGCCTGCTGGATTGATGGAAAGCTGGAGGTTGCTAGCAGGCAAGTTGGTGTAGGGTAGATCCCCAGGGGCGTTAGGTAGGAGGGGCTTTTTACCAGGCAGCATGGCACCAGCAGGCATGATTCCAGGGGGCATTATACCAGGCAGCATGGCACCAGCAGGCATGATTCCAGGGGGCATTATACCAGGCAGCATGGCACCAGTGGGTATGATTCCAGGAAGCATGGTACCAGGGGGCATAATACCAGGAAGCATGGTATAAGGGGAAGCATGGTATAACAAATTATATTTACTACGACACCTTCAAACTTTGCTTTCGTCAAATAATCCTCCATTTGCAGCAATTACAGCCTTGCAGACCTTTGTCATTCTAGTTGTCAATTTGTTGAGGTAATCTGAAGAGATTTCACCCCATGCTTCCTGAAGCACCTCCCACAAATTGGATTGGCTTGATGGGCACTTCTTACTTACCATACAGTCAAGCTGCTCCCACAACAGCTCAATAGGGTTGAGATCCGGTGACTGTGCTGGCCACTCCATTATAGACAGAATACCAGCTGACTGCTTCTTCCCTAAATATTTATTGCATAGTTTGGAGCTGTGCTTTGGGTCATTGTCCTGTTGTAGGAGGAAATTGGCTCCAATCAAGCGCTGTCCACAGGGTATGGCATGGCGTTGCAAAATGGAGTGATAGCCTTCCTTCTTCAAGATCCCTTTTACCATGTACAAATCTCCCACTTGACCACCACCAAAGCACCTCCAGACCATCACATTGCCTCCACCATGCTTGACAGATGGCATCAAGCACTCCACCAGCATATTTTCATTTGGTCTGCGTCTCACAAATGTTCTTCTTTGTGATCCGAACACCTCAAACTTCAATTTGTCTGTCCATAACACTTTTTTCCAATCGTCCTCTGTCCAGTGTCTGTGTTCTTTTGCCCATCCTAATCTTTTCTTTTTATTGGCCTGTCTGAGATATGGCTTTTTCTTTGCAACTCTGCCTAGGTCAGCATCCCAGAGTCGCCTCTTCACTGTTGACGTTGAGACTGGTGTTTTGCGGGTACTATTTAATGAAGCTGCCAGTTGAGGACCAGTGAGGCGTCTGTTTCTCAAACTAGACACTAATGTATTTGTCCTCTTGCTCAGTTGTGCACCGTGGCCTCCCACTCCTCTTTCTATTCTGGTTAGAGCCAGTTTGTGCTGTTCTGTGAAGGGAGTAGTACATAGCGTTGTACGAGATCTTCAGTTTCTTGGCAATTTCTCACATGGAATAGCCTTCATTTCTCAGAACAAGAATAGACTGACAAGTTTCAGAAGAAAGTTATTTGTTTCTGGCCATTTTGATTCTGTATTAGAACCCACAATTGCTGATGCTCCATACTCAACTAGTCTCAAGAAGGCCAGTTTTATTGCTTCTTTAATCAGCACAACGGTTTTCAGCAGTGCTAACATAATTGCAAAAGGGTTTTCTAATGATCAATTAGCCTTTTAAAATGATAAACTTGGATTAGCAAACAACAACATCAGGACTGATGGTTGCTGATAATGGGGCTCTGTACGCCTATGTAGATATTCCATTAAAAATCAGCTGTTTCCAGCTACAATAGCCATTTACAACATTACAAATGTCTACACTGTATTTCTGATCAATTTGATGTTATTTTAATGGTCAAAAAAATTGCTTTTCTTTCGAAAACAAGTGACCCCAAACTTTTGAACGGTAGTGTGTGTGTATATATATATATACGGTTTATTCTTACTCAGTCAGTGTCCAGTCGACATATCAATGAAAAACATTTGTTTTTGTTAACATGTAAAAAAACAACAACACACATGCAGCATAGCTCGTTCCACATGCAGCATAGTCATGTCACCAGGCCAATACAGACAGAGCAGAGTACAGAACATCTTGCACGTCTCACAATGATCAAACAGATGAGCCATAATAACACACTGTTGGATATCAATAAAACTCCCTAGATTGACTGAGCCTCACAGATAGCTGCCCAAACCCCGCCCTCAGTGTGTCCATATGTGTGGCTAGGGTATGGAATCCAGTGTTATTCTGGGAAGGGGGGTGGGTGGAAACACTTGTCTACACAGTGTATTTGTTATGTCTGACAACATACAGTATCTTCAGTCATCAATCTCTTCTTCACTTCTTTTTGTTCTCTTTGCAGGCCACCACGTATCTCTGAGCCACGTTGAGGGGCGGGGAGTAGCCGTCTGCGTACGACGTGTCCTCAAACAGCACTGAGTAGTCGTCCTGGGGCTGAGAGAGCAGAGAGTGCATGGTGGTTAGTGGGGAGAACAGGGTTCACTGATTTGGGGTCAGCATTTTCCCCACTAATGGTTAAGGTTAGGATTACTGGAGGGGAAGCTGCCAAGCGAGAGGCCTTCCTGGATGCAGGGTTTAGTGTACAGTAACATTTTCTCCAACTGAACCAGCTTTATGTAGTTTCGTCATCAAATAAAATGTATTCAAATGACATCAATCAGTCCCCCCCCCTCCGTGTCTCACCCGGTGTGGGGGGGTGTGGATGAGGGCTCTGTAGAAGCAGGTGGTCTGGGGGTAGAGGGCCAGCACCAGCTGGTCTTTACTGAACAGGGCCTCCGGGTCCGTCTCTGGGTTGGCCTTCCACTGGGGCAGAGGGATGATACGCCTCCTGCTCAGGGTGTGTCTCCTGGAGGAGGACAAGAGAAGAAGGATGGGAGATGGGGGGGAGAGAGAGAGAGAGAGAGAGAAGAAGTAGAGTAGATAATTGTCATTATATCCGAGGTGAGATTTTCAGGGCATAAAATATCATGTACTACAAGACAAAATAGTAGGAAGAGAAATATAGAAGAATGAAGACATTGTCTTACTCTTTTCCTTCCTCATCAATGTCATCCACTTCATACCTGAAGGACAGAGCAGAAGAATACAACTCAAAACAGTCTGTTGTAGCTGATTTGCTAAAAGTGTTAAAGGCTGTAGTTGATTGGTTAACAGTGGTACATGGCTGTACTTGATTGGCTAACAGTGGCTGGAGCTGATTTGCTGATAGTTACTTGTTGGTGGAGTGGCTGTAGTTGACCACCTCGGCCAGGATCCACTGTTCGTCCCCGTCCACGGCCTTGACCCGCGCTGCCACCTTGTCCCCCTGCTTGGCCACGTAGTCACTGCTGGCTGGCATCGCCCCACACAGGGGAGGAGGACTGGAGGGGAGGAGGAGAGGGGGATACAGGGAAGGATGGAGGGTTTTAGGGGTGGGGGGAGTAACATAGTAATGGAGGACAGAAAAAAGGGGCAGGTGGAAGAAAGGTAGGGTAGGTACTGAACTTGAACTGTACACAATAAGAACACAGATTTTCGTTTCCCGTTGCAAAACGTTTTGCTATGTTGTGCACTACTGAACAGGACGCAGGAGAGAGACTGAATCATCAGACCGTACCTGTCTCCTGGCTTGCCGATCCACAACGGGAGCGTCATGGCTGACTGTTGGAGCAGTGTCATCAGCACCCCCCTCCGCATGGTCTTCCTGGGGGGGTCATTGTCGCTGTACACCCCTGCCATCTTAGCCGCTGGGGGAGAGGAGAGAGAGAGAGGAGGAGAGAGGTATGGGCTGCATCTCAATAGTATACAGTGGCTTCTTCTCCTCGTCTCGCCTTCTTCCTAAATAGGATGTAGGCTATTATGAGAATTCAGTCACAGCCATACTCTTCTTACCTATTCGCCTCTCCTCCAATAAGGATTTGATCTCTGCAATTTTGTCGAGGGCATGACGAAGAATACTGTGGGAGAGAAAGAGTGGTGCCCGACTTATTACTTTGGACTGGAGCTGTACTTACTTACTCCACATGGTGGCAATGATTTCTGAACGCAAGACAAAAACACATCTAATCACTGAACTACCACAGTTGGATAGGTGAAAGGAAACGTTACATTAAACGGCTTACACCAACCCTATCATATCAGATCAGTGGACACTTCAAGGGACATGGGGATGTCAGTGTAGGCTACCGACCTGCACTCTGCCTCAGCGTCTGCTTTGGCTGTGGTGTAGAGTCCCCTCAGCTTAGTCCGGTAATAAGGGGAGGCTGGGGGAGATGGGGACAAGAATAACACCTTTTACACTGTGTTTGTGTTGGTTTGTCTATCCTTGTGGGGATAGTAAAATAAGGAAAATTCTCCCTCGTGGGGACATTTCCCATGTCCCCATGAGGACAAAGGCTATTTTAATCTTAGGGGTTAGGGTTACGAGTAAGGGTTAGGTTTAGGGGTTAGGGAAAATAGGATTTTGAATGGAAATTAATTTTAGGTCCCCACAAGGATAGAAGAACATAACGTGTGTGTGTGTGTGGGGTAAAGGCTTAGCCAGATGACACAGAAACAGAAACTGTGTGTAACAGTGATATGAAGAGTTATAAAATAGTGTTGCAGTGTTGATGGACAAAGGGGAATGTGGGGAGGCGAGGTAGAGGCTCACTCTTGTTCTCAGTCTGCATCCTCTCATGTGTTTTCTGGATGTTGAGCAGGTTGTGTTCACTGCGCGACCGCTCCTCCTGAAAAAGAGAAGGAAAGGGATTCATATTACAATGTGTGGTTGTTGCATAGGTGCAAAATGATGCAATATATCAGCAAGAATAACATATAATGTGCACACACAATTTAAATGTATTACAGTGACTGATGTTTTGGCAATGAGATTTAATTTGATCTCTGCATATCATTCCTATTCTGTATTGCTAGGTATTACATTACTCCCAAATGTGACTTCAATCCCTATGATGGCATGATGTAAAAATATGAGCCACATTTGAATATAACTAGCTAGGTAGCTATTTATTCATAAAATGACCGTCCTCCACTGTGGTCCCTGAGTTACTGGTCAGTGCTCCTGATGACAACAGCACTTGGGCGTAGCAACCATTGGTTGAGACTTACCTGCGTCTGCTTGATGAGTTGATGGAGCTCTGTTAAAAGCTCTGCAATTTTAGTGTCCGCCGACATGATGTTGCCTGTGGTAACGAGATGTCAACATGCATTCATCAAATTAGTTTCACTTGAGTTTAAGCAGCAACATGATAGACATACCTTGCACACAGCAGATTCCGACCCTACCGTTACACTTGTTTACACTGAGTTGCACTGGGGTCGGAACGTCATCATGGTTAGATTAAGACTCTGGGGATGAGAAATTGTGTTGTACTCCGAACTGTACCATTATCCCAACTGTTACACCGGAAAGATTGAACGACTGCTTATTTTTCCGAAAAGCTGCCCTTTTCATCCTCATGCTATCCAGCAGTAGCCACAGCAGCCATTATGGAATGGCATGTTGCGTTAGACAACAAAGGAGCTGATTGGCTGACACTGGCTACATCTAGCTAGCATGAGGACACAAAGGGCAGTTTTCCAGAAAACTATCAGTATTTCAATCTTCTCGATGTATCAGTTTGGATATAGGTAAAATTTTGAGTATAGTGTCACATCCCATCCCTGCATTGAAGTAGGTTTTCCGATCCACAATAAGGTCCAATCCTGCCGTTTTTCTCTCAATATCAAATAACTTCTGGGTAACAATTAAGTACCTTACTGTGACTGTTTTCAATTAAAATGGTCAAAAAGAAACAAAAATAGCTTCTTAGCAAAGAGCAATTTCTCAAGCAATAATTTTGTTAGGTCTGTCTGGGAGTGGTCTATGTGGGGACGGGAAAACGGAAAACCAGCTGTTATTGGCAGAGGTTTGGAACACATTCTCTTACTGAGGGGGTTCAATTAATCTGGCCCGGGTGCCCGGATAGGCGTTTTGCAACAGGGGAAAGTTGATTGCATTCGTTTTGGAACCGGGCTGCCTCCCGGGCGTGAGCCATATGTCCCGTTCAAAGCCCACAGCGAAGTTGGCTCAAAACAAAAGTGACGTATTTTAAGCACGTGGAGTAATGAGTAGGATTCTGTATTTTCACATTAAAAAGTGATTGCTTTTGATAAAAACACGTTATCTGCCTTTCCAATGAAAACTAGTTTGAAAATTCAAACAGATTTTAATGGAAAAGAGATGTATGTTACTGGATGATGGATGATGTATCATGCTTCGTGCGGCGTAGATTACTGTTCAATTTGAGAAGGGTGCTCCTCCCTCACCGCTTTTGCCCATTCACGTCACGCAGCTCAGCATATTCTAATACCGCCCATTGGTCTATTAACTAATTTAATGCCTGGTGTTGTCACCAGGCAGGCCAAAACTCCAGCCCACCAAAACAGGCTGGAATTTTTCAAAGAGCTCTTACACTAAAGGCATGATCATCATTTTCACAGTATTATTCCAACTACATAATGTGGGAATATATATAAAACTCAGGAAAATCACGTTTTTGACTGCAATGGGCCTTTAATCTAACCATAGTGCAGCTCAATGTAAACAAGCGCAACGGTTAGGGTCGGAATCTTCTGGCTAACATAGCTAGCTAGCTAACAGTAACGCTACATAGCTGTATTGTTCGCAACTTATGGCACATTTACTTTGTACTGGCAAGTTGTCAGCAAGAGTTAGCTAACGTGGTCAGAACAAACATATAATATTGCAGGAAGCTAGCCAGATAAATTGTGAAAAGCTAGCTAGCGGCTAGCTTCGCTGGCTAAATAGCTAGCTAGCTTCTATGATGACTTAAACGTGATCTTTCCTTTTATCAACCACTAAACGCAGTTTATTTTGTTGAGTAAAGTTACATTTTGGTAAGTGGTCGTAAATTGTTATACAACATGTTTAGAACTATACATTCATACTATTTACCTACCTTTACCTTTGGTAGCTTGTTAGCTTTCATTCGTTTCAAGGCCTACTACGGACTGGCAGCGAGGACAAACAGTACTACCCCAAACGTTTGTTTTACGCGTCTTTCAATATTGCATTTCGGCCATAGACTGTATACAAATATGGCATCTCTACCATATGTGCGTTCTAATTTAAAAAAATAATCACAAGTAAATAATAATTGTTGTTTGAATTCGTTCAGCTAATGTTTACAACCCATGTAATTTACTTCACCACTTACATTCCATCTTCCAAACATCTCTCCTCAATGTTTACATATTGAAACATACAGACAGTTTTTTTTTGGGCATTTCTTGTAAACACATTCAATCAGACTGTAATGTTCTGTTCTTTCTCTGAAGCTTGTGTAAAATGTGCCGTCAGCAGAATTCTGCGAGGGGCAAAAGAGAACGTGAGGGAGGTTTGGCCACTGGAAACAAGCACCAGCTGTAAACACTATGGTGAAGAAAACAGCTACATAAACAGCAAAACAATCACTAAGAACAAAACTCAATAGAGAACTAATATGAATGTAAAGATGGGTAGACAGTACCCTAATGTAAAGCAATATACTATATGTATTGATATTAGTTGGGTGTGTGTGGAGAGGGGGGTCGTAAAACAGACCATAGACAGACACAGATAAGTGTTGGCTTATCTGCATGCGTCAAAACTATCTGGGGCGCTCTGTGCTGTTTATAATTGTGTGTGTGAGTCTTTGTGTGTTTAGTGTGTTTGTTGAGAGCAGGCTTAGTCACAGCTCACATGGGTAAGCTCATATTTCAGCAAATATTTATTGAACAGAGCGCCCACATGACTGAGGCCAAGAAAGCGTGGACGGAGGAGTCACAGAAAGAGTAAGGGGAGAAGGAGGAAAAACAGTGAAAGAAACAAGGACAAATGTAAGAAATATGAATAGTGGGAGTGAAAGAGAGATAGATAAAGAAACATGTAAGAAGAGAGACTGGGACAAAGAGAGAGTGAAGCCCCGCCCCTCTCAGCTCTGACTCCAGTTTATGGGCAGTACAGTACTGTTTATGACTGTTTATGGAGGCAGCGAGGGAAGTAAAATATGCCAAGAACTCTCTCCCTGCTTCAGTACGCCTGCGTCAAACCGTCCTTGCTCAAAAACAATTAGGTCATATCCAAAAGGACTGGTTTGTGGAATATTCAAGCCAGGCTTTAGGAGAAGAGGCTACTTTGAGAAGTTTTACTCATAGCTCCTGGTTAAAGGCCTGTAATTTATACGACAGCGTCTGAACATGATGAGTAGATTTATGTGAGGAAAGAGCCCTTCCTCATCGTTCTCACAGATACAGTCATATGTTTCTTTGTCATGACTACAGTCTGAATCATTCTATCTAGTTTATATATATGTATATATATATATATATATATATATATATATATATGTATATATATATATATATATATATATATATATATATATATATATATTCCTTTATGTAGGCCTACATGTATTTGCTATACAGTACCACACACATTTAATTTCCTCTCTACTAACATGCACACGTGAGAACACACACAATGGGATTTCATGGGTGCTATAGAACTGCGATCAAAATGGGTTCAATGCCTACTGAACAACCAGAATCTGTCTGTCAAAAACGTTGCATTGTCACCAAAAGTTGGTTCCACATGCTCACCAAAAGTTGGTTCCACATGCTCACATTCACACATCTCACCTTCAAGGACCCTTTGGATGGGGCCCTGACAGACAAATTGAGGTCATACAAAGAAAAGGGGGCATCAAAATGGGTCAGAGAACATGTGGCTGTTAGAAAACGTGAAAAGTGTGAGCTTTGAACCACAGGTGTTGATAAGACTGAAGGAAAAACATTGTTAATCTAATATTTGTCTCAGAGGAGGGAGGGGTTGATAGGGCAGAGAAACCATGTCGGTGAAGCAAGGTGCATTTAGAATTAAGAAATGAATTGCCCATGTAAAATAAATGACTATTGAAAGATGACCAATAGAAAGAAAGCATAAAGCATAATTTTGCAATGGAATAGAAAGAAAGAAAACATGTACCACGAGATTAAGAGCAAATTAAACCAATAAAGGGCACCTGATTAAAATAAACAAACATTGACGTCAAATATTTACCAAAAACTGATGCAACTTTCACTGACTCAGGCAAGGGCCAAGGACTCATAACAAAACTGGGAGGAGGACTCGTAACAAAACAGGGAGACATGGAGAAAGGGAGGAGCGACCATGCTTTATAAATCTCACGGGCAAGCGCAGAAAACCGCTCATTTCGAGAGTCGAAAGAAAGACACCCGTGGAAAAATAACTGCTTTCTAAAGTTGTTTTTGTTGCTGTCCAGCGAAAAGTACGCCTGCGTCAAACCGTCCTTGCTCAAAAACAATTAGGTCATATCCAAAAGGACTGGTTTGTGGAATATTCAAGCCAGGCTTTAGGAGAAGAGGCTACTTTGAGAAGTTTTACTCATAGCTCCTGGTTAAAGGCCTGTAATTTATATGACAGCGTCTGAACATGATGAGTAGATTTATGTGAGGAAAGAGCCCTTCCTCATCGTTCTGACAGATACAGTCATATGTTTCTTTGTCATGACTACAGTCTGAATCATTCTATCTAGTTTATATATATATATATATATATATATATATATATATATATATATATATATATATATATATATTCCTTTATGTAGGCCTACATGTATTTGCTATACAGTACCACACACATTTAATTTCCTCTCTACTAACATGCACACGTGAGAACACACACAATGGGATTTCATGGGTGCTATAGAACTGCGATCAAAATGGGTTCAATGCCTACTGAACAACCAGAATCTGTCTGTCAAAAACGTTGCATTGTCACCAAAAGTTGGTTCCACGTGCTCACCAAAAGTTGGTTCCACATGCTCAAATTCACACATCTCACCTTCAAGGACCCTTTGGATGGGGCCCTGACAGACAAATGGAGGTCATACAAAGAAAAGGGGGGCATCAAAATGGGTCAGAGAACATGTGGCTGTTAGAAAACGTGAGAAGTGTGAGCTTTGAACCACAGGTGTTGATAAGACTGAAGGAAAAACATTGTTAATCCCTCAGAGGAGGGAGGGGTGGATAGGGCAGAGAAACCATGTCGGTGAAGCAAGGTGCATTTAGAATTAAGAAATGAATTGCCCATGTAAAATAAATGACTATTGAAAGATGACCAATAGAAAGAAAGCATAAAGCATAATTTTGCAATGGAATAGAAAGAAAGAAAACATGTACCACGAGATTAAGAGCAAATTAAATCAATAAAGGGCACCTGATTGAAATAAACAAACATTGGCGTCAAATATTTACCAAAAACTGATGCAACTTTCACTGACTCAGGCAAGGGCCAAGGACTCATAACAAAACTGGGAGGAGGACTCGTAACAAAACAGGGAGACATGGAGAAAGGGAGGAGCGACCATGCTTTATAAATCTCACGGGCAAGCGCAGAAAACCACTAATTTCGACAGGTGAAAGAAAGATACCCGTGGAAAAATAACTGCTTTCTAAAGTTGTTTTTGTTGCTGTCCAGCGAAAAGTTAGTTTTCAGTTACTTTTCATTTGTTCAATAGAAGCGTCACTATGTCAAGTTTCGTAGACGTGAAGAATGTTGAGCCAACCCAATTTGAAGAACAACACTACGACGAATATGAATACTACAACCTTTCAGAAAAATACACAAGTAAGAATCAGTATTTTTGTTATGCTTGTTTGTGCAATTAATTATCAGGTTATGAGCAGCAAAAAAAATCGAAGAATCATTCAATTTCAATGGTTCGGCGTTCGATCTATGAAGAATAGCTCAGCTGGTAGAGCACGGCGATTGTAACGCCAAGGTAGTGGGTTCGATCCCCGGGACCACCCATACACAAAAATGTATGCACGCATGACTGTAAGTCGCTTTGGATAAAAGCGTCTGCTAAATGGCATATATAATACTGAAGTTTCCAAACTCCTCAACGTGTCGCAAGTGGCACATGTTGACTGCTACAATGTTGCATTGGGGGCAAGTGGGTGTGTCTTTGTTTTCAAAGTCTCACAATATGAACTGTGAACTCGCACTGTTTCCAGGTAGCGCTAGCCGCAAGGGGAGGACAAAGAAGGAAGCAAGCGACAACACCAACCGACCCAACCCTGGAGGCCACGAGCGCAAAATCGTAGAGAAACTTCAGAACACTGAAAAGAAGGCCAAGGCGTGAGTAAATGGAGGTAAGTAAGTGTCCCCCCTCCCCCATCTTTGTATGCACTTCACAATTTAAACATGGATTCTGACATCTAGGGCTCAGGTGTGGGACAGACAAAATATAAAGTTGGGCTTTTTGGCCTACTAAATACTATTTAAAGGCATTGTTTTGTTCCTATTTTGGTACTCTGTTCCTACCACCCTCAAGTGCCCTCACGTAGCAAACGGTCAAGTAGCCAGAACCATAACCAAAGTGCATTTGTCTTTCCTTTCAGGGCAAATCGGACGGCTAACCCTGGCAACCAACCATGGCCGCCTTGGCGACAGAACAAGATGGGCAGACAGACGGTGAACGCCAATGTAGAGGGGGGTGAATATGAGGAGTGATCACATGCTGCCAATGAGTTTGACTGTAGCTTCAGCGAAGGGGATTTTAGTCCTCTCCTTCATAGAGCTGATGGTACGGTCGGTGGGATTGGCCCCCATATAGGGTGTTCACCTCAGTCATGGGTAGACCTCCACTGAAGGTGATGTAGAGCACCTGTGCAAGCGGTCTTCTGGATGACCTTCCCACACAAGTGGGGAGTAATGGTGGTGGTGGCAGGCTGCATCATGTTTCATTATCAATGTGGTTTTGTTTTTAAGTCTTAATTGACGATACTTGTCACTTCATGTTTTTATAAACCAAAGAGGTTCTTAAAATTGATTTATTTTACAAAGTGTATTGAAAATAAATGCTTTCATAAAATGTATTACAAGTCTTGGTTTAAAGTGGCACTCCAGTCTCCTTTTCACCTCCATTTAACACCTGATTTACTTAACAAAAGGCACATCTCAATAGGTGGTCCAGGTAAGACATGGCACATGGTGTGGGGGCTTTCCTCTAGTGTTCCTCAAGCAAGGGGAAGGCTGACGTCACAACTTCCCATCCAACCAACTCCTTGAATGCCCTATTCCTTGAAGTGTGCAGTTGTCTAAACACTATTTGGCTTAAAACCTATTTTTACCTTTTGGTGTGTGTACTTTACTGTCTTTACTTAGGATATTACTTTTCCAACATCACTGGAGGACATCTTTAATTATGAATTTGTGTTGGTGGAAGGTGTCAGGGTCTGCAATCTTCAAACAAGCCAATAGGTGGCAGTAACAGATTTGAGTCGAGTTAAAGTCCTCTCTAGGAATGCTCTAGTTTAGAAAATACACTTGTGCCAAAGAATTAAGGGATTACTGTCAAGAAGTTGACTATTTGAAGAGCAAAGAACAGAAAATGCAAAAGAATAGCAATTTGTATGACTGCTCATTCAACTGTTTAAACTAAATGGATAATGAGAAAATAACTTAAATCTGCTGCTTTGCATCTCTTCGCATCTGAAAATGTAGGCTGGCCTTGAACTGAAATGAGTTGATGTTGGGCAGGGTTTTTATATTTGGTTAGTTTCACATCTTAAGGAGGCATAGCCTACATGGCAGTTAGATTGTGTCTTGTTTTAAAGTAATTTCCTATTTCTAAATAAATTGCACAAAAAAACCTTGCTGTCAAATGCACTCACAAGTGTGTAATCTTGAGCTCCATGGTCTTCTAAAAGGGAAACTTTTTGGCTTGCTTTTTGGCAGACTGCCAGTATCATCTTACACCCCATTTTTTTCAAAAGCCTTGGGTGGAGCATGATATGGGATTCCCATCATGAAAAATGTTGGACACCAATTGCCATACCATATACATAAGGGTCTTTCTATAAACTTTGCTGGACAACTTGTAACAGCTGTTGATAAGTCATTGATAATAATGTTTAAAAAAAAAGTAATATCATTACATTAAGATATAAAGGGGGATCATAGCTATATTCAATAAAATTCACAAGTTGATTTAAAACCTATGTTTAACCCTTTAATGGTTGATGTCTTGATGGATTTGTCCAAAATCGTGTGACGTAAAACATGACTTTTCTGTCCTTGCATTTATGGAAGAGTAAGTTGTTTAAGTATTAATCAGTTAAATTAGACATTGAACTTGAACCCTGTAAGAATCTTGGATCTAGCTGTTAGACACTTTTTTTGTATAGAGATCTCAGAAATATCCTTGCGTAACATTGTGTCGCCTTATGTCATGGGTTGAAAACAGTTTTCATGGGCACACAAATCCAAAATAATAAATGCGATTGCAAAATCAAATGCTTCTAACTGAAAGCCACCTTACCTTGATACCAGTGGCGGTCGGTGACGTTCAAGATGAGGGAGGACAATTTTTATTTTAATGAGCATGACCTTATTCTATTACAGCATATTGGATGACTGTCATTCATATTCTGTTCACCCAGCTCAATGTAACATCAATAGGTTTAGGCTACTACATGATACTCTAATTTTCCCTATACGCATCATAAGGTTGCTACAACCTAGCCTATGAATGAACGTTTACAACGTAGGTGCGCAGGTGCGCAGGAGAGAAACATTTGAGTAATCAATTCAATACCACCTTGCACACTCTTGCATGCATCTAGCTGATCGAGGGTGTAATCATTAGTCCAACAGTTACAAACGAGTTTCTTTTGGACAAATTCAGATATGTTTATCCCCGTTTCGTTCCGTTTGCTTCCGTTTTTAAGAAACGTTTTTCGACAGAATCGGCAGAATGAATACACCCCTGATAACACGCAAACAGAGTTCACTTTCATAGCAGCCACATACAAACAGCATGATCACTTTGCTCGTTGTAAAGTCCTTCACGCATCTACGCGCTCCTCCTCTCACCTTTTCCCTTCGCTTGTGGACTTCAGTGCACAACACATCAGCTGTCTGTGACCAGGCTAAGAAACTTCTCCAAGCCAACCTTCATATCATAACCGCTAACCACTACACACAGCCTACATCGTTGTCATCATATTAGCTAATGTCATAGTCAACATACCTACTAGAACTAACGCATTAGTAAACCCGCTACAATCATACAGTACAGTGTACGGTCAGCAAGCAGTTTAGCAGTTACACCAGCGGGCCACAGTGGCAATAAATTAATAAAACCAAAAGCTTACCTTGACTTGGAAGAGTTCCAGTGTTGGATAGCCAGCTAGCTAGCTGACATAGCATCCCTCTCTATTTGAGCCGGGTGTTTGAGTAGGCTTCTCCTTAATTCTGGAAGATATTAATTAGTTCAAAACTGTTCAACTATTGTCTTTCTCTCTCTTTGAGTCAACTACTCACCACATTGTATGCACTGCAGTGCTAGCTAGCTGTAGCTTATGCTTTCAGTACTAGATTAATTATCTGATCCTTTGATTGGTTGGACAACATGTCAATTCATGCTGCAAGAGCTCTGATAGGTTGGAGGATGTCCACCGGAAGTTGTCATAATTACTGTGTAAGTCTATGGAAGGGGGTGGGAACCATGAGCCACCTAGGTTTTGTATTGAAGTCAATGTACAGTTGAAGTCGGAAGTTTACATACACCTTAGCCAAATACATTTAAACTCAGTTTTTCACAATTCCTGACATTTAATCCTAGTAAAAATTCCCCGTTTTAGGTCAATTAGGATCACCACTTTATTTTAAGAATGTGAAATGTCAGAATAATTGTAGAGAGAATTATTTCTTTCAGCTTTTATTTCTTTCATCACATTCCCAGTGGGTCAGAAGTTTACATACACTCAATTAGTATTTGGTAGCATTGCCTTTAAATTGTTTAACTTGGGTCAAACGTTTCGGGTAGCCTTCCACAAGTTTCCCACAATAAGTTGGGTGAATTTTGGCCCATTCCTCCTGACAGAGCTGGTGTAACTGAGTCAGGTTTGTAGGCCTCCTTGCTCGCACACGCTTTTTCACTTCTGCCAACACATTTTCTATAGGATTGAGGTCAGGGCTTTGTGATGGCCACTCCAATACCTTGACTTTGTTGTCCTTAAGCCATTTTGCCACAACTTTGGAAGTATGCTTGGGGTCATTGTCCATTTGGAAGACCCATTTGCGACCAAGCTTTAACTTCCTGACTGATGTCTTGAGATGTTGCTTCAATATATCCACATAATTTTCCTTCCTCATGATGCCATCTATTTTGTGAAGTGCACTAGTCCCTCCTGCAGCAAAGCACCCCCACAGCATGATGCTGCCACCCCCGTGCTTCACGGTTGGGATGGTGTTCTTCGGCTTGCAAGCTGCCCCTTTTTCCTCCAAACATAACAATGATCATTATGGCCAAACAGTTCAATTTTTGTTTAATCAGACCCGAGGGTGCAAACCGTAGTCTGGATTTTTTATGGTGGTTTTGGAGCAGTGGCTTCTTCCTTGCTGAGCGGCCTATCAGGTTACGTCGATATAGGACTTGTTTTACTGTGGATATAGATACTTTTGTACCTGTTTCCTCCAGCATCTTCACAAGGTCCTTTGCTGTTGTTCTGGGATTGATTTGCACTTTTCGCACCAAAGCACGTTCATCTCTAGGAGACAGAACGCGTCTCCTTCCTGAGCGGTATGACGGCTGCGTGGTCCCATGGTGTTTATACTTGCATACTATTGTTTGTACAGATGAACGTGGTACCTTCAGGCGTTTGGAAATTGCTCCCAAGGATGAACCAGACTTGTGGAGGTCTACCATTTTTTCTCTGAGGTCTTGGCTGATTTCTTTTGATTTTCCCATGATGTCAAGCGCAAAGAGGCACTGAGTTTGAAGGTAGGCCTTGAAATACATCCACAGGTACACCTCCAATTGACTCAAATGATGTCAATTAGCCTATCAGAAGCTTCTAAAGCCATTACATAATTTTCTGGAATTTTCCAAGCTGTTTAAAGGCACATTCAACTTAGTGTATGTAAACTTCTGACCCACTGGAATTGTGATACAGTGAATTATAAGTAAAATAATCTGTCTGTAAACAATTGTTGGAAAAATTACTTGTGTCATGCACAAAGTAGATGTCCTAACCGACTTGCCAAAACTATAGTTTGTTAACAAGAAATTTGTGGAGTGGTTGAAAAACGAGTTTTAATGACTCCAACCTAAGTGTATGTAAACTTCCGACTTCAACTGTAGCCAGAGGAGGACGGAAGCTAGCTGTCCTCTGGCTAGCCCATGGTGCTACCCTACAGAATGCCGTTGAGGCTACTGTAGACCTGAAATTGCAAGACAGTGTGTTTGAATCAATTATTTGGTGAGGTGAATATATTTAGTATAGTTTTGTCTAAAAATGATAACTTTTTTTATGTTTTACCATTTTGATTAAATTCACTGAGGAGGATGGTCCTCTCCTTCCTCCTCTGAGAAGCCTCCACTGCTTGATACTTAAAACATAAATCCATACAGTCATTAATGTGGTTCTTCAATAATTATTCATAATACTTGTTGGATGTGCATTTGGTGTCCATCTGTTGCTGTCTGC